ATTATGGAATAAGCTGTTGAGAGGAGGAGTGATGACATGTCTGAATCAATTTGTAGATTAATGACCATTTAGATCACTTGCAGGTAATAATTTGAAGAAAATACGCACACAGTATTGTTGCCATTTACTTTCAATGCCGATGGATAATGCAAATGTTTGCATATGTCTTTTAAATGCCTTTGTGTAAAATTGACGCTTGAATATCACATAATTAAGAAACTGGTCACTTATGTGAGTTTGATTACAATTACAGAAGTTTATTCTGAGTTCACATCTATGGAAAAAATTAGGTTATAAATGGCAAATAGAGAATGAACTGTGGAAGGGAAAATTGTCATTGTTTTATTTTTGTATGGCATTTTGCATAGTTTTTCAGAAAAAGAGTGCACACGCTGTAAGGTCTCACCTGCTTTACTTATCATAATTGAAGTTATGTTGAAATTCTGTTATAAAAAGGCTTCACCACAAATATAACACAACTTAACATTATAAATCATCAATGTAAATGAGGTCAAGGTCAGATGAACCCTGCCAGACAGACATGTACACTTTACAATCATACTATACACCAAATATAGTTAGCCTATTGCTTTTAGTATCTTAATCAAAGCATACTCGGTGCTGTGATCCTGCCATAGTTTCGCTACAGGTAGTCGGACATTTTTTTTATCACATTTGTAACATTTTTCTATTTATACAAGTTTCTGTAAGACATTTATATAGAGACAACCACCGCAACTTTGGATAAGTAATTTTAACCCAAAATGTTAACTTGTGTTTAAACACTTTAAACATAATTAACCAAGGGACTGAAAAAAAAGCGACAACACAAGGATTAAAGCGTAGATGGTCATCATTTTCATTATTATTTCACAGTGTTACTTTCTTTTTAAAATCACCCCTTTCAGCTCTTAAAATTCTCAGAAAAAATGTGCTTCTTCTAAGGTAATTCTGACAATCAAAGTAATCGAAATCACTGATGGAAAGACTGGAAGAGATGTGTGCATAATTTCAAATCTTATTCTCAGGTATTGTGGTGAACAAACCAAAACTTGATATATCACTCTTGCATTGAATTCAGAAAGATAATATGGTTTTTTTTTCAGTTGATAGAACAAGCTTGTCTCCCTTATTTTACTTGTAAATGATTGCTTTTGGAAGGATTTCTATGTTTAAACATAGGTATGCAATTTTTCGAACTCATCTTAGGATCATTTATTGATTTTTGATAAAAATTATATGACACTGAAGATGAATAGTTTTAGTTCATTTTCATAATATTACTAACAAAATTTAGTCAATTGCCCAAAGATGGAGAATTTCTCAATATTGATACAAATTAGATATTCAATTTTTAATAGGGGTACAATTTTAAATATCTTCTTTTTTCATTTAAATAATTTTGACATGAATGGAAATAGAAATGTTCAAAGGAAGGTGAAGTATATTTTTTTTACTGAAGTTTGACTTACTAATAATCAGAAAGAGGCATTGAAAATGCACCTTTCAGCAAAAAAAAAATAAAAAATAAATAACTAATTTTTTATTTAAACTGGTGCTCATACTTTATTGTAAAAAAAAATCCTGTATTCAAATACATGTACAAATACATTACTCTGTTAAATAGAAATATAATCGGGAATAAACAAATACATTTGATTGCAGAAAATGCCCAGGTTAGAGTTATGCATATCTAGCAAAATAATTATAATTGTAACTTAAATTAACCTAAATTATTGACTAATAAAGGCAACAGTATTATACCGCTATTCAATAGTCATAAATCGATTAAGAGAAAACAAATTCGGGTTACAAACTAAATCCAGGGGTAACACATCAACTATAAGAGGAAACCAACGGAACAACAGAAACACTGAACTGCAACATAAACAAATGCCAACATACATAGAAACGGACTATTTGATAACAACTGCCATATTCCTGACTTGGTACAGGACATTTTAGAAAAAATGGTGGGTTGAACCTGGTTTTATGGCTAGCCAAACCTCCCGCTTATATGGCAATGTTTAAAAAATATCGCTTAAATGACAGCACTACGTGACAGGAATACAGTACAAACAAACGCAAGAACACTCAGCACAGAGAAATGCATAAATAAATAATATAAAAGTACATTACAACATGTTAACCGCAGAATAACAACAGACATCTCCCATTAACGACAGCACATGACACCACAAACAGTGACGTATATATGATCTTTCCAGACAGCATGTACACCATGCAATCATTTCATGCACCAACTATAGTTGACCTATTGTTTATAGTACATTGTGTATCTTTGAAACAGACATAGCCATAAAAACTCAATTAATCAACCAATAAACCATGAAACTGAGGTCAAGGTCAGAGGAAACCTGTGTCCGACATGTACACCTTACAGTAATTCCAACCATCAAATATAGTGTCCCCTATTGTTCAGAGCATCTTAGAAATTGACCGAGAGAATGACATCATCTTTACCACCAAGACCCTTTGGTTCAATAAATTCCTACTCTAGCACAGGAATATCATATAAACTGGGAAAAATATTCTGCAATATGCAGACACTGCTGGAATTTTGCTACACAGAAATAGGTTTGATACTTGAAAACAACATTTGATTAGCTTTTTCTGAGATGACCTCCATACATCTAAATGTCTATGTTTTATTTGTTGGGTTGAGGTCTCATTAGCGTGTAACCCACACCTCTCTTATGAGTTGCAGGAAGTTCTTTGAAAGTCATCTTAAAGTGGCGTTAGCTGTCAAATTTATGTTCACCGATTAGACTCAAAGTGTCATATTTGATTTATAACATACTAAAACGTATATCAAAATTACTATAAGTCTAAAATAAATAATTAACAATGCATGGACTCTATAATATATATCAGCATTTCCTGTGTATTTTAGTCTAGACGCCATCTAATTAACCATCGATATGACCTCCGAAGACTGCCAACGGTCATATAACCCGATATAAACATAAATATAAAAAGAATAGATAGTGACCACGTGCAATTAGATTTTTCTTGGTCTGTTTGATTTCAAGTTATAGGTTAAAAAATCAGTTAAAGATCGTTTTTTTACCCGTATAAGACTGATTTTTTGTGGATCGAATCAGTCAACGAAATGGTTGACCCTCGTTTCACTTTCAATGTTGACATTTAAAAATTACGCTTTTATTAATACTTGAAACAAAAAGACTCGCATTTAAATTTTTTTTCTAAATCGTAGATAATGGCCCTTTAATAACTATGCAGCAGATCTTTGAATATTTCTATCAGTACAAACTTTAATTTTGACATTTTTGTCAAATAAATAGATCTGAGGTAAGAACTATTTCAGCTGGTGTTGACAGATCAGAGTTTTGTAGCGACACTGTCCCAGGTAAGGGAAGGATTGTTTGTGTACAAACATGTTTAAAATCTAATTCAAGATATCAGGCTTACAATTTGAAACAACAAACACATGTTTCATCTACATAAGACTCATCAGTGGCGCTCGAATCAAAACAGTTGGAGGGCCAAATCAAATACAAAGTTAAAGGGCATTAAAAACTGAAAATTCCAGAAACGTTTTGCCAAATACGACAATCTATTCCTAGAGGTAGAACAACTTAGTGGTACGAATTATTCAACATTTTATAAATAATAAACCATGGCATTGTTGTATGATGTTTTTACTTCTTTATTATAACAAATTTGAAAGAATAAAATATAATACTCCATCATCATAAAAAATCATTTCAATGAACTGGCAACTCATTTAATATGTTCAAAAAATAGAAATGTAGTAATAGATATATATTTTCCTATCAAATCTGTACATATAAATGCATAATAAAATTAACAACGCTATCTTTTGTTTCCGATTTACATAATTACGCATAATTAGTTAGCAACAGTTTTTAGTAACTACTGTTACTTATTTCATTTAAAAAAAAACAAAGTGAACACATTATGACTTCATTGTCATTGTTTGCATATTTTTTTTTTAAATATTTGCCACTCAAATCAATTTATTTTCCAAATTCTCAAATCATGTTAAAACTTACATGCTGGGTAACCAAAAATAAATCAAACTTTATATAAAACAAAATAATAAAAGAAACTTAATTGCTAAATGAATTACTTCAGATGTTCTAAAGAGAATAGTATAACCTTATAGATGAAAGAGGAAAAGAGCCAAAAGAGCTGTTGAACTCAACAAAGAACTATTGAACAAAGTACTGAATGCCTTGATAAATGTAATATAAAGTAATTGATCAAATTGATAATTTACAGAAAATAGTTAGTGAACAGGGAAATTCTAGTGGCAATTTTATCTTGGCACAAGTTTAACCATGTTAATTACAACTAAAATTGTCATAATATAAGTAATGGCGATATCACTGCTACTTTGAGATGAAGAACAGCAATACAACCATTGTTACTGTGTTTTGCAATTTATGAAGTATGTGTAGGGATTTTGTGTCATATCCGTTCTTTACCTTTATGAAGCAACGTAAACAAACAATAATATAAAAAGTAAGAAACAGTAATGAAGTCTGATTACTATGCCATAAATAAAATAGTAAAATAACAAAAGTTTTAAATCGGAACCACAAAGTAAAATATTATAACAAACAATAAAATAAAAAGAAAGAAACACTAATTAAGTACAACTATGCCATAAATAAAATAGTGAAATAACAAACGCTCTAAAATCGGGACCACTAAATAAGATATTATAACAAAAACTAACAACTGACAGTACACTTATAATTAATGCGGCAACTTATAGTTAATTATCTCCCCTAATTAAGAGGATAAACCAATAGTACCAATGGATTGTTCTCTGAAAGGTATGGTGTATTATATGACTGAAATTAATGAAAATAATCCATTGATTTTAGATAATTACATTTTATCTGATAATACAGGTGTTGATGAATACTTTATAATATGTCAGACCAAAATTTGTCTACTGAAAAATTAATAAGAAAAGTCCTCCAAACCTAACATTAATTGTTACTCTATTTCTATAGAACATAGAACAAACAAATCTGTAAGGTAGGATTGGAAAACAAGTGACTAGTCAACAATACAAACTATCCACTTGGTTTGAGGAGGTAACTGATAACGTTTCTATTTGCTTAGGGAAGAAAATGATAATATATTCCATTTGTTATGAGAAATAACTGTTTCACCTTGGTCTCTGGAGACATCTGAAAAATTTCTCTCTTCATTCCACCCCTGATCAGAATAATCAAAATACCCTTTTCTTTCAAGATCAAAACACACTGTTGGATACACTATTTATCTCAGATAGTGTAGTTCATATATCCAATCTCAAATATAAATGAGGACAAAAATTGCTATGAGAGCCACCCATTTTGTAAAGTCGTAAAATCTGTTTCTATTAAAAATAATAAAATTTGTACCATTCCTGTTTAGTCACTAAAAGATTGTGCTGAAACAAATGAATATATCTTTAATCTTTATAAAAGAGATATGGTATATCTTATTTTACAGACTTTTTTTAAAAACTCAGAACCAGCTAACAACATGTTATTAAAAAATAAACAACTGTTCAGTAAAAAATAACTTCAGCTAAGAATTAGAGAGTATATTCATAACAAACAATGGAATTTTATATGAAGACAATATTACTAGAAAATCAGGGAAAACACCCAATCCCCTTTCAATTTGAATTGATGATAACAGGAATAATTGATTTCATGAAGCCTGTGGTACCTTGAGACACGTTTCCTCAAATGAAGTTTTTATCTAAATCATGAACAAGTTTGTACTGTTCTTCTTAAAGTTTTACATGTATTTTATTTCTTTATGTGCTCAAATCTTCTCAAACCATTAACAGCTGAACTATAAACCAACCACAGAGTTGTGTCCTTCTGTTATAACATACCTACAACAAAATCTGTTTAAATATGTAGAAAAGGAGATGTAGGGTATATGTCAATGTGACAGCAACCCAATGACAAAAATTTCCTAAAATATACATTTAGAGGGCAACAGACAGTCATTTAGTTTGAGTTATTTTAACAAATCAATTGTTTACTGTTTCAGAGAAAATTATTTACTGTGCATTTCTGAAACAGCAATTATAATATGATCTATTAACGTTATTCCAGTATTACAAGATTAAATAATGAAATCCCAGTACAACTGACAAATAATACCAGCAGCATTTTTAAAAAGTTTTATTTGTTAATATTGTTCGTATTCTATTGCACTGTAGCATGAATGTGAAGTTAGCAGCCGGTTCGTTATTCAATATCCAACCGGCTGCTAGCAGTCGGTTCGATATTCAAATTTAGTTGAAAAACATAAAAATTAAAATATTTGATAACATTAAAAGCATGATAATCATAGTTAAAAGGAGTAAAAAGATATGTAGGAAATCGTTTTATGATCCCTTCAAGCTGTCGTAAATTCTCGTTGTCCAGATATAAAATCGCACATTTGTCTTTTATCAATAAAACGACATCAAAGATGTACTTTTATATATGATATTTCTAGAAACAAGAACAAAAAACGACCACTCTAGTAACATTTAAAAATATAAATAGAAATAATTATGGAAAGCCAAAAAACAAAAAAGAAGAAATATATAGTGAAAACATACCAGAGACCGCTTAAATGACGGTAATACCTCCCTGATCTCTCAATCGTCCTAATATTATGCAGATAGTTAGTTAATATAAAGATACAAACGAGGCCAAAAGGAATTTGGGAAAAATTGTATGTTTACGGAGGGCTCAAGGTGCCATTTTGATATTCAAAATATATTGTGAAAACCTACCGGAGACCGCTTAAATGATGGTGAGACCCCCCTGGTCTTTCAATGTCAATAAAATTCGATGGATGATCTTTTAGACTATGTATATATACAATTGTATCAAAAGGCTTTCCTAGAATAATGTCATCTTCGATATCTACGGAGGGCTTAAATTGTCACTTTTCAGCTAAAAATCTTCGAAAATTCAGATCAAAGGGCACAGGGCGACGTCTAGACCCCCTGATCTCTCAATCTTCCTAATATTATGCTGATAGTTAGTTAATTTAAAGATACAAACGATGCCAAAAATAATTAGGGAAAAATTCTTGTCTTTTACATGAATTTTCGACGATTTTTAGCTGAAAAGTGACAATTTAAGCCATCCATAGATATCGGAGATGACATTATTCTGGGAAATCTTTTTGATACTATCTGTATATATATACATAGTCTAAAAGACCATACAATTTTACGGACATTGAACGACGAGGAGGGTCTAACGGTCATTTAAGCGGTCTCCGGTAGGTTTTCACTATATATTTTGAATATCAAACTGGCACTTTGAGCCCTCCGTAAACATAGAAGACAAGAAGTTTACCCAAATTCCTTTTGGTGCCATTTATGTCTTTGTATTTACTGACTATCTGCATAATTTTATTAAAATTGAGAGATCAGGGGGGTCTAGCCATCGCCCTGTGTCCTTTTACCTGAATTTTCGACGGTTTTTAGTTGAAAAGTGACAGTTTTTAAGCCCTCCGTAGATATCGGAAATGACATAATTCTGGAAAATCTTTTTGATACTATCTGTATATATACATAGTCTAAACGACCATTCAATTGTATGGACATTGAAAGACCAGGAGGGTCTCACGGTCATTTAAGCGGTCTCCGGTAGGTTTTCACTATATATTTTGAATATCAAACAGGCATTTTGAGCCCTCCGTAAACATAGAAGACAAGAAGGAGGGGCCTGATGGGTTATTTTCGTTCTTCGTGATCGGTGCATTTTCGCTAGCGTGATCCGTTTTTCTACAGATTTATTTTTTTTTTATATTTTCGTGATCCGTGATCATGGAAATTTATTTTCTGTGAATCGTGATTGACAAAAAAATCAACTCGTGAATCGTGATAAGACCCCCCATCAGGCCCCTCAAGAAGTTTACCCAAATTACTTGTTGTGCCATTTGTATCTTTATATACTAGCTATCTGCATAATTTTATGAAAATTGAGAAATCAGGGGGGTCTAGCAATCGCCCTGTGCCCTTTTACCTTTTTTTCCATAATTATTTCTATTTATATTTCTAAATCGTTTGTTTTTATATCTAGAAATATCATGTACAAAAGTACTACTTTGATTGCAATTGATTGGTAAAAATCTATATTTCATAAAGACAAATGTGCGATTTACATAAGGGTTTATATTTGAGGACAACGGGAATTTGCGACAGCTTGAAGGGGTCATAAAACGATTTCCTACATATCTTTTTACTCCTTTTATCTATGACTATCATGTTTGAAATGTTATCGAATATTTAGATTTCTATTATTTTCAACTAAGAAATTTGAATATCGAACCGAATGCTAGCAGCCTGTTGGATATTGAATATCGAATAACGAATAACGAACCGGCTGCTAACTTCACATACATCACTGTAGCTATCAATAAAGTCATGGCAATAATTTCAAAATTCACAATTCTTATGCTTTATAGCTTTCTTTAAAAAAAAAAATGCTATCCATCTCATTACATATTAATTACGTATGTGTATGAGCAATCTCTGAAGAGAAAATACGTTAAAATCATGTGGTTGTCAAGTTACAAAAATACTATTACAGAATAATATAAACTTATAGTATGTATAGCCACTGATCTTAACGAAATAACTATTGTTGCTTGATAAATTTGATTGAACTAATGTTAAACCACTAATATAGATCTGCCTTAAACACCCTGTCTATGAATGGAAAAAAAATAAGAAGTTGAGTTACCTGACTTGGAATTGGTGAGATTATTTATAAAGTGAGACTATTTATTTCGTTTTGGGTAAATTTGGGAAATTAACTACATATACTCATAAAAAAAACTTTTCATCATTTTAAATGTGAATGGGAACAGAGATCAAATAGATTCCTATCTTATGTCATATTCAAATTAAATATTTGGATTAAAGACTCACCTTGCTGACCCTCTACTGCATCTAACATCATTTTAAATTTAGAATTAGGATTAGCTGTTAATGAAGATGGTGAATCATACTCCACAACCTGCAAACAAACATATCAGTGTAAAGCAAAATTATCCTATAAGATCACTAAAAAAATTACAATTCAACAGGAATTATACAGCAATGTCACCGGAAATCGGCTGCAGAAACAGGAATTATACAGTAATGTCACGGAAAATAGGCTGAAATAAAAGGAAATATTCAGGAATGTCCAAACAAAATGGCTTGAAATTAAAGGAATTATACAGTAATGTCATGGGAAATGGAATGAAATAGTAGGAGTTACACAGTAATATCACAGGAAATGGGCTAAATGACAGTAATGTCACAAGAAATGAACTGAAATCAAAGGGCACTGAAATGGCACAAGAAATGGGTTGAAATAAAAGGAATTAAAAAGTTATGTTCCAGGTAATGAACTGAAATAACAGGAATTATACAGTAATGTCACTGGAAATCGGCTGAAGTAACAGGAATTAACAGTAATGTCACAGGAAAGGGGCTGACATAAAAGGAATTATACAGCAATGTCCAAACAAAATTGCCTGACATGAAAGGAATTATACAGTAATGTCATGGGAAATGGAATGAAATAGTAGGAGTTATACAGTAATATCACAGGAAATGGGCTTAAATGACAGTAATTACACAGTAATGTCACAGAAATGAACTGAAATCAAAGGGTACAGTAATTGCACAAGAAATGGGTTGAAATAACAGGAATTATATAATAATTTTGCTAGAAATAGGCTGAAATAAGATAAATTATACATCAATGTTATAAGGAATGGGTTGTAATCACAGGAATTATACAGTAAGGTCATGAAAATGGACTGAAACAGCAGGAATTATAATGTAATTTCACAGGAAATGGAAGGAAATAACAAGTTATACTGCAAGTTCGCGAAAAAATTACTGAAATAACAAGATTTATAAAGTAATGTCACTAGAATTGAACTGAAATGAAAGGAATTATGAAGCAATGTTAAAAAAATGGATTTAAATAATATGAATTATACAGTAATGTCATAGGAAATAGACTGAAATTACAAAAATTATACAGTAATGTCATGGGAAATTGGTTGAAATAGCAGGAATTATACTGTACTTTTATAGGAAATGGACTGAAATAACAAGAATGATACAGTAAGTTCACAAAAAATGATTACCGAAAATAACAGGATTTACAGTAATGTCAGAGGAAATGGGCTGAAATAATAGGAGTTATACAGTAATTTCATAGGAAAAGGGCTTACATAACAGGAATTACACAGTAATGTCACAAGAAATGAACTCAAATGAAAGGAATTTTAAAGCTATGTAAAAAATATGGTTGAAAATAACAGGAATTATACATTAATGTCATAGGAAATGGACTGAAAAAAGGAACTATATAGTTATGTCGCAAGAAATGTAATGAAATAATAAGAATAATACAGTAATGTCATGGGAAATGGATTGAAATAGCAGGAATCATACAGAAATTTTATGGGAAATGAGTTGAAATAGCAGGAGTATACGGTGAGTTCACATGAAAAGTAATGAAAAAAAACAGGATCTATACAGAAATGTCACAATAATTTTGCAGGAAATTGGCTGAAATAAAATAAATTATACAGCAATGTCATAAGAAATGGGTTGAAATAGCAGGTATTGTACAGTAATGTTATCGGAAATGGGTTGAAATAGCAGGAAGATATGGTGAGTTCACATGAAAAGTACTGAAAAAACAGGATCTATACAGAAATGTCACAATAATTTTGCAGGAAATGGGCAGAAATAAAATAAATTATACAGCAATGTCATGGGAAATGGGTTGAAATAGCAGGAGTATACGATGAGTTCACATGAAAAGTACTGAAACAAGAGGCTCATGAGAGCCTGATATCGTTCACCTGTAATTTCAGTTTCAGGCATTTGACTTATTTGCAGATCTTACTTTGCTGAACAATTTTGTCATTTACACTTTCTCTCTTTCTACAATAATATTAAAGATAATAAACAACCCAAAACTGTAAATTTTCCTAAAAAATAACTATTTCTTGACAGTAATCTAACAATAGGTTGTCCTATTGGTCTGAAGATTACTTGACAAGTAGATCTAAACCTGTTTAACACTTTCACCTATGTCAGTTTTGCTCTTACTGCTTTAGTTTTTGAAATGAAAGCCAAAAACTTCATTTACCCCCTATGTTCTATTTTTAGAAACTGCCGCCATGTTTTTAAGTGGATCTAATCCCCGAATACAATCTTTAAACTAGATACCCTAAGGAACATTCCATTAAAATTTTCAAGTATTTGGCTTAGTAGTTTTAGAGAAGATTTTTGAAAAAGTAATTAGATTTTCACAAAAAATGTAAAAAAAAAAAGGTTTCAAGGGCAATAACTCATTAAGGGGTCAATTGACTATTTTGATCATGTTGACTTGTTTGTGATCTTACTTAGCTGAACATTTATTGCCATTTATACTTACTTTCTGTCTATTATAATATTAAAAAAAAATAACCAAAAACAGTAAAATTTAATAAAAATAAACTATTTCCAACAGTAACCCAACAATGGGTTGTCGAACTTGTTTGAAAATTTCATAACAGATAGATCATGACCCATTTATCACTTTAACTCCCTTTCACTTTTGCTCTAACTGCTGTAGTTTTTGAGACATAAGCCAATAACTGTTTTTGTCCCCTATGTCCTATTTTTAGCCTTGGTGGCCATGTTTGTTGATGGATCAAAACTTTGGATACAATTTACAAACTAGACACCCTAAGAAACATTCAGTTAAAGTTTGGAAGTATTTGGCCCAGTAGTTTCAGAGAAGATTTTTGAAAAAGTAATAGACTTGCACGAAAAAATGTATAAAATAAACGTTTCAAGGGCAATAACTCCTTAAGGATTCAATTGACTATTTTGATCATTTGACTTATTTGTAGATCTTACTTAGCTGAACATTTTTTTCCATTTACACTTTCTCTCTATCTATTATAATATTAAAGATAACCAAAAACAGTAAAGTTTCATAAAAATAAACTATTTCGGACAGTAACCCTACAACGGGTGGTCAAATTGGTCTGAAAATTTCATAGCAAATAGATTTTGACTTATTCATCACTTTAACTCCATGTCACTTTTGCTTTAACTGCTTTAGTTTTTGAGATAAAAGCCAAATACTGCATTTGACCCCTATGTTCTATTTTTAGCCATGGCAGCTATGTTTGTTAATGGATCAAAACTTCGGATACAATTTATAAACCAGTTACCCTAAGGAACATTCAGTAAAAGTTAAGAAGTGTTAGGTCTAGTAGTTTTAGAGGAGAAGATTTTTAAATGTTAGCAAACATGATGAACAAATTGTGTAAAATTGTCTTTAAAAGGCAATAACTCCTTTAGGGGTCAATTGAAAATTTTGGTCATTTAACGTTTTTGTAGTACTTACTTTGCAGAACACTATTGCTGTTAAAGTTTATCTCTATCTATAATAATATTCAAGATAATTACCAACAACTGCAAAATTTCCTTAAAATTACCAATTTAGTGGCTACAACCCAACAATGGGTTGTTCGGTTCGTCTGAAAATTTCCGGGCTGATAGATCTTGACCTATAGAACATTTTGACCCCTATGTTATATTTATGTTGTCATTTTAGTGTTATATTTAACATTGCCATTAAAGCGGGAGGTTTGGCTAGCCACAAAACACTGTTCAACCCACCATGTTTTCTTAAAATGTCCTGTACCAAGTCAGGAAAATGGCTATTATTATCTTATAGTTCGTTTCTGTGTATGTTGCATTTTAGTGTTTCTGTTGTGTCTTTGTTCTCCTCTTATATTTGATGTGTTTCCCTCAGTTTTAGTTTGAAACCCGGATTTGTTTTTTCTCAATCGATTTATGAATTTCGAACAGCTGTATACTACTGTTGCCTTTATTTAGCCATGGAGGCCATGTTTGTTGATAGATCAAAACTTCGGATACAATTTATAAACTAGATACCATAAGGAACATCAGTTAAAGTTTGAAGGTATTTGGCCCAGTAGTTTCAGAGGAGAAAATTCTTGAAATAGTTTACGACGACGACGGACGCCAAGTGATGGCATCAGCTCACATGGGGCCCTTTAGGCCCCGGTTAGCAAAAAAGGATTTATACAGAAATGTCACACAAAATGAACTGAATTAAATTGAATTATACAGTAATGTCACAAGAAATTGGTTGCAACAACAAGAATTATACAGTAATGTTAAAGGAGATGAACTGAAATAAAAGGAATCACACGGTAAGGTCATGGAAATGGGCTAAAATAGCAGGAAATTTAAAATGATTTCACAGAAAATGGGATGAAATAACAGGAGTTATACAGTTATATCACAAGAAATAGGTTGAAATAACAGGCTGGACTGAAATAGTAGAAATAGTACAGTAATTTCACAGGAAACGGGCTGATATAACAGTCACTATACAGTTAGTTCACATGAAATGTACTAAAATAAAAGGATTCATACAGTAATTTCAAAAGAAACGGACTGATTTAAAAGGAATTTTACAGTAATGTCACAAGAAATGGGCTGAAATAGCAAGAATTATACAATAATTTCACAAGAAATGGGCTGAAATAAAAGGAAATATATAGTAATTTCACAAGGAATGGACTGAAATAAAAGGAATTATACAGTAATGTCATGGAAAATGGGCTTAAATAACAAGAATCATATAGAGAGTTCACATGATATGTACTGAAATAACAGGATTTATACAGTTATGTCAAAAGAAATGAACTGAAATCAAAAAGATTAATACGGTAATGGCACAAGAAATGGGTTGAAATAACAGGAATTATACAATAATTTTGCAGGATATGGGCTTAAATAAAAAAAGTTATACAGCAATGTCATAAGAAATGGATTGAAATGACAGGATTTATACAGTAAGGTCATGGAAATGCGCTGGAAAAGCAGGAATTATACAGTAATTTCTCAGGAAAGGGGATGAAATAACAAGAATTATGCAGTGAGTTCACAAAATAATTACTAACATACAGTAATGTCACAAGAAGCGAACTAAAATTGCAAGGAATTAAAAAGCAATGTCACAAGAAATGAGTTGAAATAACAGAATTTATGCATTTATGTCATAGGAAATGGACTGAAACAAAATAAATCATAGAGTAATGTCATAGAAAATGGATTGAAATAGCAGCAATTATACAGTAATGTCACCGGAAATGGACTGAAATAGCAGGATTATATAGTAATTTCACAGGCAATAGGCCGAACTAATTGGAATTATACGGTGAGTTTACATGAAATGGTCCTGCTTTGTTTCATAAAAAAAAATGGCTTACGTAGATATAAGTTTCTTATCTTAGGGAGCGATACATCCTACTTTGTAAAAAAATCACTCTGATTCAAACAAAAAAATCTCTGAAACTGACATTATCAGGATGCTTGATTTCTTGATTGACAACTTATTTGTTGCGTTTGGAGGACGTGTTTTTCAACAAACAATCGGCATTCCCATTGGAACCAAATTTGCTCCTCTCCTTGCCGACTCAATCCTTTATTCATATGAGTCTGACTTCATACAGGAACTTCTTAGGAAGAAAGAAAAAAAGTTAGCAGTATCCATTAACTTCATTTTCCGCTATATAAATGATGTTCCCTCACTAAATAATTCAAAATTTGGTGACTATGTTGAACGCATCTATCCCATCGAACTTGAGATAAAGGATACAAAAGATACAGTTAAGTCTGCCTCATATCTTGACTCGCAATTATAGTTAACTTTTATGTGATGTGAAAGATATAAACAAATTATAGGAAACTATGTAAAATTTTCCTTGAAATGACAGTTGAATAGCCTTCTTTTAGTGCACAAATAGTAATTATACTCAGATTCTAGGAGAGGGGGCTCTATTGCAATCACTACTAAACAGAATGACTTCATATTTGGTCAGCAGCTAGACATTGAATATTTTATGTGTCTGTCAGATTAGTTGCAATGGGTGACCACCTTTTGAATCTGTCAGACATCTACATCATATTTGCATATACTTTGAAATTTTCAATATTTTGAATGATCTTGAAATATGTCATCATACTTTTCTCCACAACTACTGAACAGAATGACTTCATATTTTGTAAGCAGCTAGACATTGATAAGTAGTTAAGTGTGAATATTTTTGGTTTGTCAGATACCTACTTTCTATTTGCCGATGGTTTGAATTTTTCAATATGCTGAATGAACTAAAAAATTTTCGTCACGCATTTCTCCAATACAATTTTTTTCCGATACTTTGAAAAATGAGTGGGGTATGCTTAGCATGACAGTGTGTCCATTTTTGTTATTGTTATACTAGTAATCAGACTAGTAGCCAGGGGGTCAGATTCCCAAACCAACCCCTTGAACCCCCCCCCCGCCAAAAAAAAAAAAAATGCTACTGTTAAAGACTTCTAGAATCGAGATTCAGATTGAAGTCATTATTAAAGTCAGAGCTAGGGAACCTCAAATATCCCCCTCTGAGAGATCCTTGCTACAGGCATGATAATATTAAAAAGAAGAGTTCATATAAAAATAAAAATAAGTGGTATGATTGCCAATGAGACAACTCTCCACAAGAGACCAAATGGCATAGAAATTACCAACGGTAGATCACCGTACGGCCTTCAACAATGAGCGAAACCCATACCGCATAGTCAGCTATAAAAGGCCCTGAAATGAAACTAGAGGCTCTAAAGAGCCTGTGTCGCTCACCTTGGTCTATGTGCATATTAAACAAAGGACACAGATGGATTCATGACAAAATTGTGTTTTGGTGATGGTAATGTGTTTGTAGATCTTACTTTACTGAACATTCTTGCTGCTTACAATTATCTCTATCTATAATGAACTTGGCCCAGTAGTTTTACAAAAATTTACAAAATTTATAAAAATTGTAAAAAATTGACTATAAAGGGCAATAACTCCTTAAGGGGTCAACTGACCATTTTGGTCAAGTTGACTTATTTGTAGATCTTACTTTGCTGAACATTATTCCTGTTTACAGTTTATCTCTATCTATAATAATATTCAAGATAATAACCAAAAACGGCAAAATTTCCTTAAAATTACCAATTCAGGGGCAGCAACCCAACAACGGGTTGTCCGATTCATCTAAAAATTTCAGGGCAGATAGATCTTGACCTAATAAACAATTTTACCCCATGTCAAATTTGCTCTAAATGCTTTGGTTTCAGAGATATAAGCCAAAATCTACATTTTACCCCTATGTTCTATTTTTAGCCATGGCGGCCATCTTGGTTGGTTGGCCGGATCACCGGACACATTTTTTAAACTAGATACCCCAATAATGATTGTGGCCAAGTTTGGTCAAATTTGGCCCAGTAGTTTCAGAGGAGAAGATTTTTGTAAAAGTTAACGACGACGGACGACGACGGACGACGACGACAGACGACGACGACGACGACAACGACGGACGACGGACGCCAAGTGATGAGAAAAGCTCACTTGGCCCTTTGGGCCAGGTGAGCTAAAAATGTAAAACTATTCAAACTAGAAAACTAACTAGTCTGAAGGCACCAATCATCCCCTAACCTGGGACAGGAGTGACACAGTACAAGTTACATGTAAGAACAAACTATAAACATCAGTTGAAGAGGGCTTGACTTATCTGATCGATAAATTGAGAAATACATCTGACAAAAACACAAACCGGACGTGGCAGGTTACTTATACATCCCCACAACAACAAAAAAGACACTAAGTATTAGAAATTGACAAAGATGGTCAGTTGAAGACAAAACTTTACGACAAAAGAGATGATTTCAGCTTCCCAATTGTGAACTTTCCATTTTTATGTAGCAACATTCCAGAAGCGCCTGCATACGGAGCATATATCTCCCAGTTGATTCAATATTCCAGGGCTTGTGATTTCTATCATTATTTCCTTGATAGAGGGTTGCTGTTCACAAGGAAGCTATTAAACCAAGAGTCCCAAGTGGTGAAATCATCCCTTCGTAAATTTTACGGACGCCATCACGAGTTGGTTGATCGTTATGAAATATGTGTTTCACAGATGACAACAGATATGTTCCAATTGTCGTTACTACAATCTCGTCCCCTTTCCACCGAATGTGATTACCGAATAAGACATATCACTGGGTTTATACTTACATGAGCAACACGACGGGTGCCACATGTGGAGCAGGATCTGCTTATCCTTCCGGAGCACCTGAGATCACCCCCAGTTTTTGGTTGGGCTTGTGTTGCTGAGTCTTTGGTTTTCTATGTTGTTTTGTGTAATGTTGTTTGTCTGTTTGCCTTTTTCTTTTTTAGACATGGCGTTTTCAGTCATTTTCGACTTATGAGTTTGAATGTCCCTTTGGTATCCTCCGCCTCTCTTTTTCCATAGATTTGATTTCCAATATTTTAGATGGTAAAATATAATATCTTTTTTGTGTAACCATGGCAAGAATCTGCATTTATTTGATACAAAATATTTCGAAAAGAGGGGGGAAGGGGGTGAAAATGTCACAAAAGTCCCCAAAATTTGGTCCAAAGTAGAATTTCAATCCATTTGAGGGATACCTTTTTTGAAACAATTGATATTTATCTATCAAGAGGACAAATAAAAATCATATGCATGTTACCTTATTTTTTCTAAAAAATGTATTGAAAAGGTCGAGCGTAAAATATTTGTTGGAAAACACTATGATAATTTCTGGGCCTGAGATGTCAAAAAAAAATATGGACTGTCAAACAAAAAATGGCCTATAAAACATGCAAAAAACAATCTTGATGATGTTCATATCAACCCACTTTGAAGGCTATATTATTCTTCATCTATCTAAAATTCAATTTTATTGCACAATAACTTTCATATTCGAAAAATTCACGGGGGAAAAATGCGAAACTTAACTTCTCACCGTGTATAGATTCCAAACAAATCACAATACAAAAACAAATTTTTTTTTAAATCTTAGTATATTACATACCTGACCATCCTCCATGACTAATATTCTATTACAGCTAAGAACAGTGTTTAATCTGTGTGCTATAATTAACATTGTACAGTCTGAAAATGCTTCTTTTATTGTGGTTTGTACAAACGAATCTGTTTTTGTATCTATTGCTGCTGTAGCTTCATCTAATATCAATATCTGTGGAGGAAACATGTTCAAATTAGTATAATATTGGTTACATATTATATCAATATCTGTGGAGGAAACTTTTCAAATAAGTAAAATATCGGCTTCATTTAATATCAATATCTGTGAAGGCAACATGTTCACATTAATATAATATTGAATAGGCTGCAATCTAACACAAAATATATATAGTATAGTGTATGAAATTCTCAGGCAAGGTTAGTTGTCTTAAAAAAACGATGATAAATAATGAATCATGAATAAAGTCTCCCCTTGCATAAATCGTCTTTACATTTAGTGTATAATATTTGATGATCCTGGAGTCACAAGTGTACAATTTAAATGTTCTCTTTAGTTTATTCTTTAAAAAATCGTTAAAATAATTCAAAATCTTGCTTGTTATTTTTGTGTATTTCAGTTGTTGTCTTATTGATATATGATCAACGTCTCCTTTTATTTATACCACTTGTCATATATCAGAAAGAGTTGTGACCTTCTCTTGGTGTTAACCCTCTGATTAATAACTCATTTTCTTTCATATTAAATAATTATGGAGACACATAAATGTCTCTGATATATAATACCTTACTATGTCTCAATAAAGCTCTTGCTAAACACATTAGCTGTCTCTCTCCTACCGAAAAATTCTCTCCATTTTCAACAACTGTGGAGTCCAACTGAGAATCTAAAGCAGCTATCTGCAAATGAATTTGTAATTTTTGCTATTATAATTGCATTTAACACTATCTTTAAACACCATATTGTGGTTTAATTTTTTCGGAGGGGGGAGGGGAGAGTGACTGTGGCTTTGAAAATATTGTACATTTTTTTTAAGTGTAAAGATATATCTTTAATATAACAGATCTTGAATGATATATGTAAACAATACTCACTGTATCTTTTATGCGACACTTCTCTAGTGCTTCCCATAAATCTGAATCTTTATGTTCTTGAAAGGGATCCAGGTTGTATCTAAATAAACAATATACTAAATATTGTTTTAAACATATATTTTACTTGTAGAAAGCAAAAAAACATTGATTAAACACATGTACATCAAAACTATGATCTTGTTATCAGTAAATTAAAATCAAACTAAATATTATTTTTATATACATTTGCACATTCATAGCTCTACAATCTGTCGATACCTGTATCTTGGCATTGCACCAGGTCATGTTTTTCTCTGACTGTTAATGATATCGTTACACTAAATCCATTGGATGTTTGATGTATATTGATTGCCATTTTAGTCTTAGATGCATGATTTTTTTAATAGTTGTTATTGGCTTTGAACTAGCTGTCAGTAACTGCGAATACTCTCAGATTTATACTTAAAAGAGAGGCGAAGGATACCAAAGGGACATTCAAACTCATAAGTCGAAAATTAACTGACAACGTCGTGACTCAAAAAGAAAAAGACAAACAACACTACACAAAACAGAACATAGAAAACCAAAGAATGAGCAGCACGAACCCCACCCAAACTCGGAGGTGTTATCAGGTGTTCCGGAAGAGTAAGCAGATCCTGCTCCACATGTGGCACCGTCGTGTTGCTTATGAAAGTACAAAGCCGGTGATAAGTCTAATTCGATACGTCATATTCGGAGAAAAGGGAACGGGATTGTAGTTACAACAATTGGAACATATCCGTCGTCATCGGACAAACGTATATTCCATAACGGTCAACCAATTCGCGATGGTGTCCGTAAAATTTACGGAGGGACGATTTCAACTTCACCACTTGGAGCTCTTGGTTTAATAGCTTCCGTGTGAGCAGTAAACCTCTATCAAGGAAATCCTGATAGGAAATACAAACCTTGGAATATTGTATCAACTGGGAGATATATACTCCGTATGCAGGCGCTTCTGGAATGTTGCTACATAAAAAGGGAAAGTTCACAATTTGGAAGCTGTAATCATCTCTTTTGTCTACAAGTTATGTTTTCAACGGACCATCTTTGTCAATTTCTAATACTTAGTGTCTTTTATGTTGTGGGGATGTATAAGTACCTTGCACGTCCGGTTTGTATTTTTGTCAGATGAATTTCTGCTTTGTATCGATCCGATGAGTTATGCCCTTTTCAACTGATTTTTATAGTTTGTTCTTATGTTGTACTGTGTCACCACTGTCCCAGTTCAAACTAGTTTAACACCGCCACAATCTGTATGTGCCTGACCCAAGTCAGGAGCCTGTAATTCAGTGGTTGTCGTTTGTTGCTGTATAACATGTTGTTTTTCGTTCATTATTTTGAACATAAATCAGGCCGTAGGTTTTCTCGTTTGAATAGTTTTACATTAGTCATTTCAGTGCCTTTTATAGCTGACTATGCGGTATGGGTTTTGCTCATTGTTGAAGGCCGTACGTTGACCTACAGTTGTTAATTTCTATGCCATTTGGTCTCTTGTGAAGAGTTGTCTCATTGGCAATCATACCACATTTTTTATTTTTATATGAAATCTTGTCCTTAATATTATGATCATGCCCGTAGCAAGAATCTCTCAGAGGGGGATATATGAGGTTCCCTAGCTCTGACTTTAATAATGACTTCAATCTTAATCTCGATTCTAGAAGTCTTTAACAGTAGTATTTTGTTTTGGCTTTCAAGGGGTTGGTTTGGGAATCTGACCCCTGGCTACTAGTCTGATTATAACAATAACAAGAATGGACACACTGTCATACTAAACATTCCCCCACTTATTATTGAAAGAATCGGAAAAAAGTAGTATTGGAGAAATGTGTGACGAAAAGTTTCAACTTCATTCAGCATATTAAAAAATTCAAACTATCGGCAAAAAGGAAGTAGGTATATGACAAACCAAAAAAGTATTCACACTTTATAACTTATCAATATCTAGCTGCTTACAAAATATGAAGCCATTCTACTCAGCAGTTGTGGAGAAAAGTATGATGACACATTTTAAGATCATTCAACATATTGAAAATTTCAAAGTATGGGCAAATAAGATGTAGGTGTCTGACAGATTCAAAATTTGGTCACCCATTGCAACTAGTCTGACAATATCTGACAGACACAAAAAATATTCACAATTTACAACTCATCAATGTTTAGCTACTGACCAAATATGAAGTCTTCTGTTTAGTAGTGATTGCAATAGAGCCCCCTCTCCTAGAGTGTGAGTATAATTACTATTTGTGGAATAATAGAAGGTTTTTTAATTGTCATTTCAAGGAAAATTTTACATAGTTCCAATAATGTTTTGATATCATTCACTTCACAAAAAAGTTAACTATAATTGCATTAAAAAATCAAAGAAGAGATAGAATCTCTGAGAGTTTCATTTAAATTCAATAGGAAAAAAATCATAAAATCATTCTTTTTAGGCAATTCTTTTATCAATATTTGCAGAAAACAAAACAAGAACATATAAAATAAAAGATAACTACTTTCAAGCATTAACGCCAAATTCTTATTTGGAAAAAAAAGTCTTAGCACTTACAACACTTGAAGAAACCTACCTAATAGTTCCAACAAATAAAACAGGGTCCTGTGGAATGATGGCTAGCTTACTTCTCAGATCATGGAGTCCTATTGTAGATATGTCTAAGTTATCTATAGATATGCTTCCTGAGTCTGGTTCAACCAATCTAAATAAGGCAACACCTAGTGATGACTTCCCTAAAAAATATTCATAGATGACCTGTAGCAGACAACATATTTAGAGGTTGCAAGGTCATGATAGCAGCTGTACCCATGCAGAAACCTTTTTGTTTATGCTTGATTACAATTCAAATTTACAAAAATATAAGAAACTTTTATTAATCGACTGTTTGTAAATATTAGTAATTAATTTAATATTTGAATAGTTGAGACTATCCCACGTGACATTGAACAAAATATCATATTCCCCTATGAAAATGGTGTCTACATCGCGAGTGCACTGGATAAGCAATCACCAATCATTCAATCAGTCGCACATTTCAATGCTTTTACATAAAGACATCATTTTCAATATTATGTTTAAATCTATTTTAGTCATAAAAATCAATAAAGAAAAAAAAATGTCATGTTTCAGATGTCTGATGGTTGATATACTGCTTATCCCATTTCATCATAAAATGAAGGGATATAAGATTTTCAAGTACCTGAATATTCTATTTTCTGGAAGTAAAAAAAAGTAGTGGAATTTAACAATTATTTCTTAGCCTATGGGAGATATCAAGATCTGTTCAACCTCGAAATGACATATTTTTTATTTTCTTGGAAGACATAATGTTTTAGCAGTGTTCTTTTTTCATAACCGGGAGAAAAACACCTACCTGATCCTGTTCGACCAACTATTCCAACCTTCTCTTGAGGAAGAACATCAAATGATACACTTTTTAATGCTAGAGGTAAATTGTCTCTATATTTCATTTTTAATTTTTTAAATGATATACATCCATCTGATGGCCAGTTGTTGGGTGGACTTTGTCCTTCAATGATAGAATCTCCCTCTGATTCTACTTCCTGTAAAATACACATAATAAGTAATATATGTTTGGAAATGTATACGGTCGGTCTTTCATTTGATCAATCCTGACACCCCTGGGTGTGTTATACAACAAGAAAAACCTTAAAATATGCATTATCTATAACCTATAGCTAATAAATAAATGAATTACAACGTCAGTTTAAATTGAAAGAGGTATTTGTACTTGGAGTGAAACTATTGATGATGTAAGCATGACAACCTAATTTTCCGTATCCATGGATGTCTTTTTATGGCATATCATATACTAATTAATATTTGAGGTCCTACCCTGGAATAATGATTTAATCTTTCTACTGATGTAAACCTGGCCTCGGTCTCTATTGCCATTCTTATTGAATACTGGAATAAACCCACCACCTAAAACAGACAAATACATTTTTTTTGTTTACAACTTAAGATGTTGGAATAAAACTCAATTGGAGGAAACTTAAAGTTGACATTTTTAATTCAATACATCAACAAAACGTTTCTCTTAAATCTCATTCTTCAATAACAAAACCTTTTTTTGTGTGAACAAATGCAAATAAATATAATGCATGGCAAATTAGTTAAAATCCCTCACAATTCATGTTGGGCTATCACAATTAGTATTATTATTATCATTTCAATCACTAGGATTTAATAAATACATTGAACAAAATAGAATAAGCCTGGTCTCTATACAACCATTGATTCATAAATATGAAGTTACCAAAGAAATGACAATCTTGTGAAACAATGATAGGTTGTACAAACCTGGATAGAAAAGGAAAGCGCAATGCCTGCCATAGCTGGAGTCATACTTTCATAATTAACGATAACTAAAAGACCTGTTACAGCTATTACACAGGCACTGATAATATCAAGACGTAAAGCTAACCATCGATTGGATGAAACGAACAGGAAATATGGAACAGTATTTGTGTCAATTAAATTATGAAATCTGGAAAAACAAATATGCAGATTAATTCAACATGGAATTTTCTGTTCGTGTAAACTATAATTTATTTAAAAGAAGAAGAAACTTTCATGAATTCAGCATAGAATAATGATATAACTCAGTAAAATTGTTTCATGTTTTTAACATTACGCAAATAAACTATTTCTTTAGGTAAATTCAACTACAGTATTAAAGACCAAACAGCCTATTAATTTTTACCAGTGATTTTTTCTTAAAATTTTGAGTGAAGGTATTTCATGATTTGGGGAATAAAATATGATGAATAAAGTTGGGGGTCACCGACTTCGTTTTGTCACTATAGCAACCTCAGTTTCGTGTTTTTCTGCAATATGAACATTATTTGGTTGTTTTTTAAAGTTTCAAATTATCCAATAATACCGAACCTAGGAGCATAGTTCTTTTTTCACATTAAACAGTAGATTTGTATCTATCAATTTAAGATTCAAGAGTTAAAGATTCTTGGTGTTTTGATCTTAAAAAGGACGATTTATTTCATTCCCGCCAAAAATAGATACATAAGAATGAAAAACGTTTCCAGTATTAAAAAAACCTGCCATTGATTTCTTCTTAAAAATTTCAAGAAAGAAAGTCCGTTGTGTTCTCTTTCAAAAAAAGCCCTAAAACTATATGTCACCGACCTTTCAAAAAAGTTATGAGTACTTTTCATGTTTTTTTCTCATTTGTTTTTAAAAACAGTTGACTTTCTATAGAACACTGAATCTGACGTCATAGTACAAGTTTCCTGTAATTTTCGCAAATATTGCAAATTGGACGTTTGAAACACACATTAAAATTTCCAATAAAAGCAACAATATACACCTACTTTATTATCTATAATACAAGAGATCACATTTATGTATCAGTATTTGTCAGATCTCATTCTACTGCCTCACTAAACCGAGAATCTAAGCTTTAAAATAAGCTTTCAGAAACACCGCCCGTGGAATGTAATATTGTTAAATATCCCCTTCCATTCCGCTTTAAAAAAGAAAGTTTGTTTTTCCCCTCCTTCTCTTTGACAGAATTATTGAAAATAAAAAATTGAAATGAAAGATGACACTGACTAATTTCTAGACTATTAGTTTTATAAGGCCATACGGTTAACTTTTACGTCATTTGGTCTCTGGTTGAGATTTGTCTCATTGGCAATGATACCATATCTTCTTATTTTTATATTAGACTATAGGGTGTTGACGGAGGGACAGAATTACGGATGGGCGTATAAAAACTATTCCATCTGATTTGTAGATTCATAATTTCTGAATATTTAAAATCTAGGGAACTTGAAATGATAGGTAGAATTAGGTAATTAGTACTACAATGTTACATGTATATGCCCTATTATAAAATACGATTTTTGTTATTACTCTTTCACGGGTTTTGAATACAGTAAATAAAAAGTACAAATAAGCCGGAAAAGACGCCTGACTATAGCTTAGAATTTAACAATTTTCGTTTGAACTGAAAGAAATAATTTTCCATTGGAAACTATAAAGTATTTTCAAAACTGAATAAATGTAAAAGATTAAAGTCTTATGAACTTAAGTGTCCTTTTGGAAATTAAAAAAAAAAATGACAACGTATCGAAATTTGTTTTCAATCTTTCCGTTCATTGTAGCTTCTTAAATGTGAGCATTTAATGTTGATTTTATTCCCGGAGTAATTTTTTCAAATAAGTTAATACATAAAACTTTTGTTTAACAAACCTTAAATTTTTATTTTAATTCACATTCAAGTATTGATTTCTAAAAAGATTTGCCTTAAACATAAGCAAGAGCAAGGATTTATATTGAAAGATACTTGGCGAGAGCAAGCGAAATATTTAAAATTGTTTTCCCTTAAGACAATTTTAAATGATACCAATCATCGGCAATGGCAGAATACAATGCATCTTGTTTTGTTTTAAAAGATTTTATCAATTTGGCAGTATAAATAAAATAAAATTCATAACAAGATCGCACAATGTTTTACGGGAATCAGTTAAAGTCAAAATTGGTGCCATTAGATCGAAACTATTAGAACTATTTTTGTTGGCCTAAACTTCTAAAGGCTGAAATCACAAAAGTTCAAAATTCTAAGCGTTAGTCTTTTGTGTTCTTTTTTGTTTAACTTTCACTAAATATTTGCGGCTGCTAAATGATTTCATTTTTCTTGACAAACGTATTTCGACAAGTATAAGGTATTCCTATGGGCACTAACTTCGCTCCTTTAATAGCAGATTTATTCCTGTATTGCTATGAATCTCAGTTTATGACCAAACTCAGTAAACATGTCATTGTTACATTTGGTTGGTACATTCAACAATACTTTCCGTTATCTAGATGATATTTTTTCGTTAAATAATCCAGAATTCTCTAAATATACTACCGAAATTTACACAAAAGAACTTACTTTAACTAAATCTAACATAAACAGCAGTAGTTGTCCTTTTCTAGATTTGGACATTTCAATCTCTAAAGGAAAACTCCATACGAAAATTTACGACAAAAGAGACGTTTTTCATTCCCTATTGTTAATTTTCCTGTTTTTAGACGGCGATGTTCCTTTGGTTCCATCATACGGTGTTTATATATCACAACTCGTTCGTTATGCCCGTGTGTGTAGTGATGTCATAGATTTTAACGAACGTAATCAATGCATCACTGGTAAATTATTAAGTCAGGGATTTCGTTACCATAAATTACGTAAAACTTTTACTAAATTCTTTCATAGATACTAAGATTTGATTAGAAAATGTTGCTGTACCTGTAGAAAACTGATTAAAAACGGTATTTCACATCCTACACTTTACTGTATTATTGTACTTAAAGCGCGGAAATCACTATGTGATCCGTGTAAACTCAACGAACCTTTAAACAAACTTATTAGTAAAGGTTATCTTTCCAATGTTGTAATTAGATCTTTGAATATAGTTTACATTGGCACTAATATCGATTTTGTCATCAGCAAATTAAAACATAACTAAATTTGTATTCTTTTCAAACGGGATGTAATAAGACACACCCGCGTTCATTTTGATCTATAAAGAGGTTAACTCCTAACTAGCCCACTGCCTGTCGATACATTTATTTTTGGCATTGCACAAGTCATGTCTTTTTTGACTGTCCATGACGTTAAAATACTCAATTCCTGGGATGTGTTTTAGTTGATTTTAGTCTCTGATGCATGATTTTTTATTATTAATTGTTTTTGGCTTTTTACTAGCTGTCAGTAACTGCGAGTACTCTCAAATCGTACTTTCTTGTTTATGACCTGTTGATACTGTGTTTTTCTATGTTGTGATGTTACACTATTGTTTCAGATAAGGGTGAAGGTTTGGTACCTTTAAAACGTTTAAACCCGCTGCAATTGTTTGCACCTGTCCTAAGTCAGGAATCTGATGTTCAGTAGTTGTCGTTTGTTGATGTGGTTCATAAGTGTTTCTCGTTTCTCGTTTTATATTTAGATTAGACCGTTGGTTTTCCCGTTTGAATGGTTTAACACTAGTAATTTTTGGGGTCCTTTATAGCTTGCTGTTCGGTGTGAGCCAAGGCTCCGTGTTGAAGACCGTACTTTGACCTATAATGGTTTACCTTTATAAATTTTGACTTGGATGGAGAGTTGTCTCATTGGCACTCATACCACATCTTCTTATATCTATTTGACGCGTACATCATATTGGAATCTGTGAAATACGCGCAATGGGACGTTCTTAATTGCCGCATTTTGCCGAAATGGACACAAGGTCATTGAGCTTTCATGTCACAATCAAGAAGCGTTAGCTAATGCGCATAAATAACAGGCTGTTTGGTCTTTAATTTGGATTACAAAGAGAAACATGTTTAAACAACTACGCACAAGTTTCATTATTGACTGCCATAGAAATAAACCAGATGTGTTTGACATGAATATTCATTAAAGTAAATAAAACGTGAACAGGAACCATATTTCCTGCAAAATGTTCAATAATTGGTATTTTTCTCTTTACTCATATGGTAATACACAATAAATAAGTGATGACACTACTTTATGAAAATTTCCGAGCTAACATTTTGTCATAAATCAACTGTTCTTTATTGAAAACTGAATAGTATTGTACATTGAATATTTTAACTAAAAAACATTGAACTTACTTATCTACAAATTCATTGGATTTTCCATATGCATGAATGGTTGATATTCCTTGAACAGATGCTTGCACATGACTTATCATCGGTGATTTTGTTACAGAATCAAGTCTTTTTAATTGGCTTATGCACGCAGTAAATAATTTACTTAACAAGACAAAGGAGAATATCAATGGCACAAGTGCTATCAAAAACCATGGCGAAACATAAGATATACTGATTAATGCAAAAATTATCATTAAAAAATTCTGTAGAAATATCTCCATATTTCCAGGAAGACGCACATCAACTGAAAAATATTATGTATGAGGTTATATATTATATATTGAGTAACACATTAGAAAAAATCATTTGTGCAAGGGAGTGTCTTGAAATTGTAGTGAGGTGTGAACATTAGCTCTGTGTTGAAGGCCTCACTGTCACTTTCAGATGAAGAACAGTAACCCAAGCACCATTCACTTCCTTGTGGTTTGGTCAAGTGTGTGTTATGAATTTAAACAATATTCCATCTTTTTTATCATTCTATCCAAAAAATGCAAGATTGTAGTTGAACTATTGACAAAGCTATTGACATCATTAACAATGGATTTTAGTTTTTATTTTTTTTATAATGAACTCATTTCTAAACTTACTTTCATCCATATCAGCAGAAAATCTATTTACAATTCTTCCAACTGGTGTTGTGTCAAAGAATTCCATTGGACACGATAAAATCTTGGAAAAAATATTATCATGCATATTACTGGAAGCATGAAGAGTCACCTGTGAAAATAACATTTATTTTACTTATTTGTGTAAAACGGTGTCAATTTCAAACATAGGCAATGTTATCAATGTTATCTAAGAGTTTCTGTGAAAAAGGACACACATTTTTTTTTTTCAAGTAGCTTTCTGACTGGTAAAAATAGAGTTAATGTGAAAACCAACTACCATTACCTGGTGTTACATACTACTGTATGTGTTTTGTTTTACCTAGAGGTCCTTCAAATATTGATGAATAAATTTACCTGTATTTTACTAAAGACGGTACTGTTTTACTTTCAAAGTCGTATGCTTTTGTAATATCTATTACGTACGGGATTTATGCATACTTTCACCATAATTGTTTGCAATTTACAATTCTTTTTTTCTAATTCTGGTTAATGACAAACACAACTTTTACAGTAGTTTTTATGTATGTGATTTTGTTTTACTTTAACACTCGTGAAGTGTTTTAGAATCATTAACAAATATTTTCAACTTCTACTTGATGATGGAAAATGGGGTTTTCCATGAAAATACTGCAAACAATCACACACAGCATGGAATTACCGGAATTTTACTTTCACTAAACATTTATAACGAGTGGCAAAAAGTTCTTTCTTGAATTCCTGTGGCTAAAGTATGTACCCATACTGATTATATAAGGCCTAGTAAGGTAGACAATTTACCACTGTATTTGTCAGTATGAGCAATATTTCTCTTATCAATATTTACATGGTTCTTCCGTGTAATTGACATTTTCCACACACAAGCATATATCAATGAAATGCAGTTTCTGTCATTATTTTGAATATTGTAATTTAAGCTTTAAAACAGAAAATCTCAGTTAATAGTCATGTTTGAAAAATCTTTCAATTAAGATTTATACTTATTGTATATATCTGTACATGTATATCAATGACTTTAATGCGAGTCTCAAAACACCTTACACCATTTAGTTTTTTGGCCAAACAAGGCATTAGAGTAGTATTGTTCCATGAACAAATGATCTTTACAACTATTGAAACTTACCTTCATGAAGATTATTGCTTTCAGTAGTATTGAAAACACAATAGCAAAAACAGAAAGGCCATATGCTGTAACATAAAAATTCATATCAGGATTATCCCTTATGTTTCTACTCAGGACTGTGGTTGTTGTGATGTTAGTTATATTGGACAGGTTACCTGGGAAAGGTATGGTAATGTTCTGAAATGAAATAATATAATACTATGATATACCAAAAGAGAGTAATCTTAAAAAAAGTAGTCAATATTGTACATACATTTCTTTTATTAATTTGTTCAAAACTTATGCATTTTCCAAATCCTATCAATTTTGAAGTCATAAATGGTCACGGCATATAAAACCCCCAATACCTGTTTGTTCTTTTTGTATTCAGCACGAAAAATGATCTAGTACCAGAATTTTCTTGTTACCTACCCAATAACATTGAAATAGCCAATAACTACAGTCTGTTTCATCTTTGGTGAGCAGTATTCGATTCTACCAGATCATGCAGTTCATATTTATTGTTAAAGTTTCATTGGTCTAACAATAAACTTCAGTTTGTTTTATCTTTGATAATCTGTACTATATTGTGTCATAGATCAAACTTGTTTGTTCAGTGTATGTTTACTTGTTTTTGTTTAAATGTCGTTTTTGTTCAAGTTAAGCCATTTCAATTAATATTTTATAATGTGTCTTTTTATGTTGTAATGTTTCACTACTGTCTCATGTTAGGATGACATTTTGCGCCTGATAAAATGTTTAAACCTACTGCATTTTTATGCATCGATCCTAAGTCAGGAGCCTGTTGTTCAGTGGTTGTGGTGTGGTTTGTTGGTGTGGTTCATAGGTGTTTCTGGCTTCTCGTTTTTTATATAGATTAGACCGTTGGTTTTCCTGTTTGTATTGGTTTACACTAGTAATTTTGGGACCCTTTATAGCTTTCTGTTCGGTGTGAGCCAAGGCTCCGTGTTAAAGGCCGTACTTTGACCTATATTTGTTAACTTTTTATACATTGTGACTTGGATGAAGAGTTGTCTCATTGGCACTCATACCACATCTTCTTATTTATATAGATACAATCAGTCCCTAAATACCTACTGAAGTCTCTTTAGTCTAATTACCTACTACTTGTATTTGCTTTATATCTTTGGTGTAGCAAGTATGACATCCTCTTACCACTTAATCCATATATTCAGAAGAACATGTTAATGCATAAAGATTGCAAGAAGTTCCTACTTACTTAATCCACCTATTTGGTCTTGTGGGTATGATTGCCACCAACTACTGGCACTGTCTGTCTCAACCCTGATATTCACTAAAAACTCATATAAGACCACCAAGCAGTTTCTGCATTTAGTCTACTCACCCCACCTCCTTGGTCTAACCAGTACGATAGCCACCAACTACTGCCACTTTGGATTCCTGTATTCAAAACAAACATGAGAACTGCTAGACCAGATATGATAACACCACCAGCAGCTTGTATATAATCCCAGTATGTCCTAAATGTCACTTTTCCTTTTCCCATCTCCTCTGCAACCATCATTTTTCCTATAAGACAAATAGATTAGTGGTTGGGGTTCTTCAAGAATGTTTATTAATACACATCAGCTTTCCTATAAAACAATAATATAAATAGAAGAACTGTTGATAACCATTTTCTATCAATCAGGGCAATTACAATAACAAGAGTGCACACGCTGAAATAATCCACCTGCGTAAAGAACCTTGATTGATTTTATGTTGATAGTCAACACGTATCACATAAACTTAACATTATATCCATGAAAATGAGGTCAAGGACAAATAATCCAAGCCAGGCAGACAGTCATGTACACCTTATAATCATTCCTTACACCAAATATAGTTAACCTTTTGCTTATTATTTACAAGAAACAGACCAAAGCATTAAAACTTAATATTGACCAATAAACCATGACAATGAGGTCAAGGTCAGATGAACCCGGCCAGACAGACATGTACACCTTACAATTATTCCATGCATCAAATAAAGTAGACCATTTTGCATATAGTATATAAGAGACAGACTTAACCAGGAAAATTTCACATTGACCAAGGAACCATGAAAATGAGGTCAAGGTCAGATTAATCCTGTCAGACAGACATGTACAGCATACAATCATTCATAACACCAAATATAGTGACCTATTGCTTATAGTATTAGAAAAACAAAGCAAAACACAAAAACTCACCATTGACAAATCAAGTCTAGATGAAACCTGTCAAACTGACAGGTACACCTTACAATCCTTACACCAAATATAGTTGACCTCTTGTTTATAGTATCATAAATACAGACCAAAACACAAAAACCTAACATTGACCAATGAACCATGAAAATGAGGTCAAGGACATCAGACATATGACAGACGGAAAGATCGTAACATAAGCCATCTGTACACAAGGTATGAAGCCTTCAGATCTTCTACCCTCTAAAATATCAGCTTAGTACAAATTGTTAATGCTCCTGCCACCCGATTGCAATCCCTATGTCATGCTCTCTGCGACTTTGGTTGCAGGCGAGATAAGAACAAGATTGCATGCTTTGTCGTGCTAAGAATATCCCCACTCATTATTCAAAGTACAGGAAAACAGGAAGTAAGTGTCTTTCAGATTGAAAATGCTTGCATTTGACAACTCATCCGTGCCAGCTGCTGATTTATCATGAAGTCATTCTTTTTAATAGTATGGCAGGCTACAGAAGCTTGATGTAAAATTGGTTTAAAATGTTGCTATGCGAATAAATTCCTGGAGTACCAACTTCAATTTTTTTTTTACTGTCTGTATACCTCTCTGCAACATGCTAATTATTCGTATAGATATACAGCTAGATCAGAGAAAGTCAGGGAAAAAATTCCAAAGGAATCGATTGATATGGAGCAAAGATTGGCACTTTTGAAATTAAGTTACTAAGCAAATTCAAACAGACCTTATCTCGATGTAAACATTGAATGTGAATAGACCGAGAAGACCGCAAATACTTGAACAAAACTCGAGACGACCTTTTCGAAAAAATTGTATACAAAATATTAGAAAGATAACTGCTTGATAAAAATAGTTATCTTTATTTTTTTATCCTGAACAGACATACATTTAAATTTTTATTTTCACGAAAAGACAACATTTCTCTATTGAATGTTCATGTTACAAGAGCAGACCGGTGTGCTCAATAACTTAGAATGTGAAAAAATAAGCATACTTTGGGAAATTATACCATGCTAATAACTTTTTGGAACACTCCGAAAATTGATGACCCGAAAGATCTTTTGATCTTGTATGTACATGATTTTTTCCAATTTTTTTTATCAATATGCGGCAAAGATTTGCATTTTTTAAATTTCAGTTTCACAAGCTTCTAATGCAATTATCTCGATAAATACTGAACATAAAACATCGTGTATTTGCATGTATATTTCTAATAACACAGTTTAACAAATCATTTCTTTAAAATGTACAATTATTATTTAGAAATAACTTTTGATCAGTATCGTCACCGGTATTGTTTTATTATTGACTTTCTCGACTCTATCATAAGAAGAGTGAATTTTCTTTTGTTTTCGTTCACTGGATATCCCACTGATGTGAGGAAAGTGTGACAAAAAATATAAACTTCATTCAACAAATTGAAAAAAATTCAAAGATTCGGCAAACAGGAAGTAGTTGTCTGACAGAAACAAAAACTGTTTACACATTACAACTCGCCACTATCAAACTGTTTACTAAATATTAAGTATTTCTGTTTAATACTTCTTGAGAAAACTGCAACATAATTTTTTGGATGAACGGACGAACAGACCGACAAGGTGAATACAATATAGCCCCACGACTAGAGTGGAGATATGATAAGGACATTTGGTACAATTTTCAATGATACAACTATCCATTGTTGATCAAATAATGGATCTTTCAAAGCTGTTATTAATTACAATTTATATCTATATTCACAAAGGAATTTACCTCACAAGTTTGATTGGTAATGCTGATAAATAACAAAATGTGGTATGAGTGCCAATGAGACAACTCCCCATCCAAGTCAAAATGTGTAAAAAGTAAACAATAATAGGTCAAAGTAAGGCCTTCAACACGGAGCCTTGGCTCACACCGAACAGCATGCTATAAAGGACCCCAAAATGACTAGTGTAAAACAATTCAAACAGGAAAACCAACGGTCTTATCTATATAAAAAACGAGAAACACCTATGAACTACACCAACACGACAACTGAACAACAGGCATCTGCCTTCGGAAAGGTGCATACAAATGCGGCGGGTTTTAACGTTTTAATAGCCGCCAACCTTCACTCTTACCTGAAACAGTAGTGTAACATTACAACATAAACAGACACACTATAAATTACAATTGAAATGTCTTAACTCGATCAAAAAGACATATGAACAAAACATGTAAACATACACTGAACGAATAAGTTTGATCTATGACACAATATAGAAACAATGAAAAAAGATGTAGGACAAAATTGCGTTAAATAAAAAAACGTACACTTGTAAATTTAAATATAATAGTTTTGTTGTTAGGAGTACGGAAAATTTTTTTACAAAATAAATAAATTTGTTGTTCACAGTAAGAGTACAGAAGTGAAAATTTATCGTCATTCTAAATACTTATAAATGGTGGTACATATTAAAAATAGTGAGACGAGATATAACACAAACTAAGTAAACATTGAATAACAGAAATGCATTACAAATTGTGTCAACAGGTCAAATTAACAAGAGAGCACGATTTGATAGTAGTCGGAGTTACTGAAAGCTAGTTAAAAGCCAAAACAATTAATAACAAAAAATCTTGTTTATTTGTAATTTTCAATTTTTCAATCAAGAGATGTGTATAATGTAGAAGTATTTGTTTGTAACATCTATTGATTGGATGAAACCATCTTTGTAAGAATGTTGGAATTACATGACACATACTGCTAAGACTGGTGTTTATATTCAGTTCACTTCACTTTAGTCAATGGTTAATATTAAGGTTGATCTTAATTTTGTAGTTTACACTGCATATAGTTTTCCACATATAGTTTGAGCGGAGATAATCAAAAAACAAAAGAACAGTGGTAAAATTGAAATCATTAAAATCACACATGTATGCATTCCAAAGCCAAAAACTCAGAGGCCTGTTGATGGAACCCTGTATCAGTACTATAAAAATACTGAACTTACCTGCTTTTTTCAATTCTTTTTTATCAGTAGTGACAGACATGCCACTGTTCTGCTGATGTAACCCTGGTGTGTGAAATCCTGATTTCTCTAAAGAGTCAGAAAATGTCCTCTGTCTTTCAGTTGTCACTGGCTGTGGTAACCCTGGAATAAAATTAATTCTTTTTATTATAAAAGAAGAATGTGTCTAAGGATATGAATGCCCCCGCTGAAGCTTTGCAGTTTTCCAAGTTATAAAGGGGCCATAACATTAGAACGGTAAATGACTCACTGCCCAAATTTAAACTCTGTCTGTGTGTTGCGGTTCTTAGCATTGTGTAATAATTTCATTAAATTTAAATGAGATAAACTTAAGTTAGAGTTCGGAAACTGAAAAATTGCAATTTTCCAAGTTATAAAGGGGCATGACTCTAGAACTATAAGTGTCTCCCTGCCTAAATTCAAACTCTGTCTGCAAGTTTTGGTTCGTCGCATTGTGTATGAGTGTCATACAATTTGGATGAGGAAAACTTAAATCAAGAGTGCGTAAACGGGACGGAAGGACGGTCAAGAGTAACACTTAATGTCCCCGTTGCCTACGGCGGGGACATAAACATACTGACTGTTATTTTCATTGTTAAAACTGAACAGTTCCCCAAAAACGTCTTTTTATCGTGTTTAGCTGATGTTTCTTTTTTTGGACATTTTTATTATTTGAAACAATAACACTCAAATTATTTATAGTTTCCCCATAAGAAAATAGCTTTTTTTGAGTCCAGGCCTTAATGCTGTCAATATATTTATATTGTCAATAATAAGGCTTTTAATCTAAGAAAAGAATGTACACAATCATTACTCTGAATACGCACTAAACTTGTCAGATATAACAAATCCAGACAAAATCACCTTTGATACCATCCTCCACATCCTGGTTGCCTTCTTGCGTATAATATGTAGTTATAAGATTAGCATATTCTCCATTTCTAGCCATCAGTTCGTCATGTTTACCTCTCTCAGTTATTCTCCCGTTAGATAAGACAATTAATCCATCACATTGCCTCAGATACTGCAACAACATATATAGTCATTTCAACAGAAAATTGTATCTACATCTATTTTACTATTGGCAAGGTGTTTGGTGTACATTTTTGTAGTTTTCTTCTGTTGCTTGCAAAAAGAAGCATTTTTCATATGCTAACAGTGCTTTAAGCTTAATTAAACATATGCTGAGGCGGATTGAAGCAAAACAATCTTTTTAATTTTTAGATTTTTCACTTTTTTAGGTCATGTTCCTCGGACTAAGCAGCATAACTTGGACCTTACGTCTTGTTCGTTTACTTCTATGAGTATTTTGCTCTTTAAAATCATTGGTTATTGAAAAAAAAATTAAACAAGAAAAGAAAAGTAGATGGCTTTATAATTTTTTGAATTACAGAGAAGGTAATATAAATATGGTTTGAATAGTCAATTGGTATTTTTATGCAGATAGCATAAACACCGTTTGGATATTTCTTTTTGAATTTGAAATGCCTAAGATATAAATTATTGGATGACATACGTCTTTGAAAGTCTGTTGATCCCTATTTCAAAGAGCAACTTATGAAATTTTAATTAGAACTACAAACTGTACTATAAATAATCAAAGCGCGAATGCGCTGTAAAGGCAGTTAGTTGCCTACAGGTTTTGTGGTTTTATATAGATATAGGAAGCTGTGGTATATAGTCCAGATTGATTATAATCAAATATATTACTTTTCAGGAACGGCTTCAAATATTACTCCGAGCAAAAAACGTTATAATTCCAAGAAATGACCACGCCTGGTCACCAATTATAGTTTGTGATTGTCAATGTCCAACTCCAAGAAAACCTGATCCTTCCATATTTTTGTTATGTATGTAAGTGGTAACTTTAGCAGGGTGTAAACTTGCTTCAGATAGTGATTCAAAGTACGGTTGGGTTTTGAAAAATCCTATATGTTCTTTGAACAATTGGTTTTTAATTGTACTAGTGGTTGTATTACTATGGATTTTCCCATGTACTTTGGTTTACAATATATAACTACCAACTTCAATGTTCAAGCCAAATTACAGTGTATGTAATTTTAGCGTATTAAATAAAATAACATAATATAAGTCAAACTTTATACAAGGATAGAGCATGTCTTCAGAAATATTTACGTTCTTTGAAAGATCAAGTTAAAAGCACTCCGAAGTATGCATGGATGGCTAGAGATTCAAGGCAGAAAATATAATTTCACTACAAAGAGATAGGTATACAAGTCTGTGATTGTGTATGAGGAACAGCGATTCTAAAGGAAGAAAATAGGGTAGATGAATTGCATAAGTAACTAACTGGAAAAAAACGTGCATATTTATATACTTTTTATTTGTAAGACTTGACCCAGTTTGGCATTTAATAGATAAAGGAAGATGAGTGCCAATGAGACAACTTGTCACAATTTGTAAAAGTAAACCATTATAGGTCAAAGTTCGGCCTTTAACAAGGAGCCTTGGCTCACACCGAACAGAAAGCTATAAAGAATCACAAAATGACGAACGAGAAACACTTATGAACCACATCAACAAACGACAACTACTGAACATCAAGCCTACCGCAATGGTTTGTGTTGTTTCTGTCGTTTAAACGTTCAATAATCGTTTAGTCGTAAACACATTAATTATTCATTCATGATTTGATGCTATAATCATAATTTATAATTGTCATATATCACACATCTCTGTACAAGAGGTATTCAAGTACATATACATGTATTTAAGGTGATGAAACGGGTGCATATCCAGGATTTTGAAAAAAGGGGGCCCTGGCAAGCCTACGTTTGGAGTGATACTTGTAAAGTCTATGCATTTATCATATTTGAAGCTCCATAATGCTTCCTCTAAATCTGCCCCTGTAAATTGATTTGGATATAAATGTTTTAAATATTTAAGTGCCAGTCTTTGTAAAAATCAGGCAATTTAGAAAAATTTCAAAACATAACCGAAAAAACCCACCGACCTAACTATCCTATATTGAAGTTACCCTCATCCTGAGTTAGAAATGGTAGGTTTTTAGTTTCTGCGTGCCTGGAAATTCGAGAAATATCTAGATAAATTTTGGTTAGAATGATAGCAAATTACGGAGTTAGCTCCCCTTTATTGGTAATTTCTAGTGCATTTCAACCAAATTATATCTTATATTACCAGAACAGGATAAGGAAACAAATGTTATTTTCGAGCACCTTTATATAATTTGAACATAAATTAATGTCAACTTGAGTGGTTTTTTTGTTTGTCATGTTTTCACCACTGCCTGATTCTTAAGCAGAATTGCAAAAAATATTCAAATAAATATCTCCTCTTATGATAATTGTATATTGAATATGCGTCAAAGGCACAATTATTTATCGTCCACTCTTACTAATATTTATAAATTAATTGATTTTTTTGAACTATAAATCAAATATGAATAATTTTTATCCCTTGTAAATATTTTTTTTTTAATTGAGGCCGGATTGATATGAAAGCCTTAACCATATTTTCTTTTACTGGCTCTGCTCCTGTTTATAAAAACTCAAAACATTCTTCAAATAAAGAGTTGCGCCATGAGCGCATGATACACCCGTCACTTTTTCCTTTACTCCTCAATGTCATATCAGAAATTTACAAAAAACTAAAGGGAGTGTGTTTATTTTTATAGATATATTAAACCAGTCACCAACGTTTCATAAAAACTGCTCAGAGCATTTTTTGAATTATTGTCCCAAAACTGGAAAATCATCCCTTTTTTGAATAAAACCCCATAACTCGGAAACGTAAAACTAAAATTTATAAAAATTTAAAGGGAGCTTACGTCAAAGGATATAAACAATTCACAAAAGTTTCATGAAAATTGGTTCAAGCGTTTTTGAGTTATTGTCCAACATGTTAACGACGGACAGCCAGGCGAACGGACGGACTGACATCGGTATACCATAATACGTCCCGTAAACGGGCGTATAAAAAACGTGTATCACTACCGTACACGTGATGGACTGTGAAACTCAGATCAGGACATTGGAAAATTCTGGTCAGGACTTTAGACCTCAGATCAGTAGGTTTTTTGTCGTAAATGTGAACGTCTGAAGTAAAAATTGTCTTTTATGTGTGTTTTTCTTCAATCTTCCATCTGAATGTAATATATCAATGTGTTTACAATAGCCTTGTAGCCTGTCTATTTAAATGATATCCGTTGAAAGCATTATTGAGAAGATTCTGTTTCTGGTTTTGTTTTTAATAGTTAATTGTTTACTGTTCCTAGATAAAGTACTATGATTTAACCTATCTGTTGAGTACAACGAGAAAATTAAAAAGCCTAGTGTTTAGTTCATGCTTCTATCTTAAGCTTTTTATTTGTATTCTATGTTATTGGCATATAAGAAAGAAAGGTGCTATACATTCACATAAATAAAAAGTTAACAAAAAATAACAATAGTTATGCATGGTTTGTAAGCATTAAGAGTCATTTTACTAGAAAACTTAAGACTGTCGTTGTTTCAAACAATGTAACATATATAAGATATAAAAGCACTGTCTTTATTACATAAACCAATGTTATTTCATAACTAAAGCACTGGTCTTGGAACAGTGGATCATGTAAGAAGTACAAGCTAACTTGGCTGCCTTTAATACACTTGACTCTGTACTAATATAATCCTGATCTGGTAACAGTTTATGTAGTTGTTAATCTTAACACTTGTCTTTCATTCATTGTTGTCCTGTTGTCAGTTGATTTTATTGAGCATACTGAAGGTCCTTTAATGTCCACATTGGAGTGTGAAATAGTGAGCATTTTTTTGCTTAGCTGAAAGTTTATAAAATGTTTTTGTCGGCATCAAAACCTTCCGATCGATTTTTTGGCAACAACATTCCACTTTTCGATCAATGCCGGTACTTACCTTTAATCATTCTTGGCGTGTGCCATTAACAGAGTAATTAATATTCGATCATCTGTTGATTGTTCAATCAAACTATAATCACTTATTAATTAACCTTGAGCCTGGGTAAAACACTAAACAAGTTTCGTAATGTCAGTTAAACCGAATAAGTTTGATACACTCGGGTTTTTACCTCTTCAATTTGATGGAAAATTACATGAATCTTAAATAACTACATCACCAAAAAAGGGCAAGTTATAAGGAATAGACATGCAAGTCGATGAAATTCGTATATGATGCCTCAACTTTGGTATCAATAATGATTCTGAATTCAAGTTCTGAATTTGATTGTAATATTATATGTTGTCAAAGTATAAGAGATTTAAAAGAACGTAGGTATGAACTGTGATTAAGGACGAATTGAGTATACACATTAAGCACGCACAAACACCTGATGCACTAATTCCCGGATGTAAACTTTGGCACTGTCCTTTTTCACTTATCTGTTTACAAAAATAAAATCGGATTTAAAAAAAAACCTTCCATCAGAGGTTATGGATATGGGTAATCCATGAGTTACAAACATTTTGTCCAATGCTTCAACGGTTTTCTCAGCGTTGGTTGATGACTTCATAACGGCAATTTCGGTCCATCGCGAGTAGTAGTCTACAACGCAAAACAATAAATGTCCTGATGGAAGTGGTCCATGGTAATCAGCTGCTAAATGTTCCCACGGTTGCGACGGTAATGCAGTCCTTTGCATTGGTTCGGGTCTTTCCGGTTTAGACACAAACTGACCTCCATAGCATTGTCGACACCACTGTTCTATGTCACGGTCAATGTTAGGCCACCACCATACTTTTGTTCTGAGTCTCTGTTTCATTATCACCATACCGGGATGACCTTCATGTCCAAGCTTTAATATTCGGTCGCAAAGTTCGCTCGGTACTACAATTCTGGTTCCACGGAGACCAAATTTCCTAATGCATACAGTTCAGACCTTACAGTCAGATACTGTTTGTATTGTAGCTCAAAACCATCGACAAGTTCGTAAACATTTCCGAATTTCATCAAATTCGTCATCTTTTGCGGAACTTTGATCAATTTCGCTAATGTTCATTGCAACGGTAGTAGCTTCGTCCACTATCAAATGTAAATATTCCTCTGTTTCATTGTACACGGGTACATGTTCCTTTGACGATAATAAGCGGGACAGCGCATCCGCTATGTTTTTTGCTACTGGTATATATTTTATTACATACCTATACGTCTGCATCCTTAGACACCAACGTTCTACTCTTGCACACGGCTTTGATTTCGGCGAAAATATTAACTGAAGCGGCTTATGATCAGTTAGTAACTCAAACTCCTTTCTGACAGGTAAACATGAAAACGTTCACAGGACCACACTAATCCAAGTGCCTCTTTTTCCGTTTGTGAATATATTCGCTCAATATCCGACAACGAATGACTCGCGTAACAGATACTACTATGACAATCTCCTTGTTGCTGAACTAATACGGCTCCTAGTCCAACTGGACTTGCATCAGCAATAGCCTGTGTTTTTGCGTTTATGTCAAAGTATGCTAAGTTCGAATTCGACGCTATGCACTGGTTCAATTTTGTCAAATGCATCATCCTGTTCTGGTCCCCATTTAAACGATTGATGTTTACGCATAAGTCGGTTAAGCGGCTTGGCTATTGTTGCTAGATTCGGAATAAATCTCCCGTTAAAGTTAACTAGTCCCATAAACTTTTTACTTCTGGCTTCATTTATACCTTGTACTTGTACTATCAGAAACTCCAATTTCCAATGTAAACAATGAATGCGAACAGATCGAGAAGACCGCAAATACTTGTACAAAAATCGAGACGACCTTTTCTTAAAAGTGTATAAAAAATAGTTAAAGACGGCTACTTTATAAGAAGATCTATCTTTAAATTTTTTAACCTGCACAGACAGACTTGTATATTGTTATATTCATGAAAAGGCAATATTTTTATATGTAATTTTCACGTGACATGAGTAGACCGGTGTACTCGAAAACTAAGAATGTGAAAAATAAGTATATTTTGGGAAATTCTAACAAGTTAAGGACTATGTGTACTTTGTGGAACACTCCAATAATTGGTGACCCGAAAGATCTTTAGATTTTGTATGTACATGATTTTTTTCCAATTTTTTTTTTATCAATATGCAGCAAAGATTGGCATTTTTTAAATTTCAGTTTCAAAAGCTTCTAATGCAATTATCTCGATAAATACTGAACATAAAACATCGTGTATTTGCATGTATATTTCTAATAACACAGTTTAACAAATCATTTCTTTATAATGTGCAATTATTATTTAGAAATAACTTTTGATCAGTATCGTCACCGGCATTGTTTTATTATTGGCTTTCTCGACTCTATCATAAGAAGAGTGAATTTTCTTTTGTTTTCGTTCACTGTATTTCCCACTGTATGATGGTTGGCATAATTACTCCTCCCACTTTTATAGTGAAATCAACATTATCGGTCGTTTCGCTGTTCACAGTGAAAACATATGGTTCTTGGTCATTAATCCCGGTTTCCACATTTCTAACAGTTACGTGTCCACGTCGTGAGTTAAAATTTCTTGTCTGCTTTGTTTTGCAACACTTTTCGAAATGTACTTCTTTCTTACATTTTTTACATTCCTTTCCAGTCGCTGGAAAGTTTATGTCTGTCTTTATCTGTCCCACGTGTCCAAATGCAAAGCAACGTCTTTGTTTTAAATCAGCTTGATTTTGAGCTTGAATTTTGAATGTTTATTGAATTTATGTTGACTTACTTTGTTTATTTGATCCTTTTGTTCCATTGATACACTTTTCTTCTCAAACGTTGAGAATAACATTTATCTATAACTTGGTATCGAATGTTTCCATCGAAATTATGAAAGGCACAGAACACAGCTTCCTGTCTCAAACGTGTAATGTATTGATCCACTGTTTAATTCAAAGTTTGCGTCATTGCTCGAAATTAAGAACGCTCAACTGCTGAGTTAACTTGTGGCGTAAACTGTGCATCTAATGCTCTAACGGTTACATCATACACAGTTTCTTCTTCTCCTGGATCAGCAATTTCCAGCGTGAAATAAATGTCCTGCACTGAAAATCCGGCGGTATGCAAAAGTAATGCTTTCTTTTGTTCAGGTTCGACCACACCTTTGCCCACAGCAAAAAGTTCAAAACCACGCTTCCACCTGTTCCATCGTGGTCCAATTGAATTTAATTCTTCATGAGCATCAGATTTTGGAATTCCTCCAAATAAAGGCAACAGTAGTATACCGCTGTTCGAAACTCATAAATCGATAGAGATAAAAACAAATCCGGGTTACAAACTAAAACTGAGGGAAACGCATCAAATATAAGAGGAGAACAACGACACAACAAAAACACAACATTAAAATGTAACACACACAGAAACGAACTATAATATAACAATGGCCATTTTCCTGACTTGGTACATCTGTAATGACTGGCCTTGCTTCTGTCATATCCTCGTTGCCAGTTGTAATGTCTCTATCAGACGATTATACTGATTTAAGCCAAAGGAATGTACAAATACATAACACAATTGAAGGTACCATCTTTTATTTTTTAAAACACATCCGGTCTTACTTATCTATACTCTCGATATCACAGTAGGTGTCTGCACTTTTGTGTCAAAACTATTCAATTTGTTGTTAGTTACCTCATAAATTTGAAAAAGAAAAGCTATATCAAATAACATAAATGTGAAAGCTATAATAAGATATTGCAACTGATAAAATAAAAGAGTTTGACTGCTTTAACATTTTATAATAGAGTGAAACAAAAAATCCTTGCTTTTTCCAACAAAGCACTGTAAATAGAGGGTAATATTCACATCATGAAAGCGTTGTATGTTACCTGTAACTGATGAGTAACAAAAATTACAGTTTTCCCTTTGAGGGCTTTGGTCAGGTATTCAATAAATATGTCTCTCTACATGTATAATACCTGTAACTGATCAGTAACAATGATTACAGTTTTCCCTTTGTCAGGTATTCAATTAAAATATGCCTCTATACATGTATCTATACTACTAAAATATCGAAGTCCAATTTGTTAGCCGGCATGACGTAAAAACGACGAATCAAAGAATTTAACTTTATAAATAACTAATATAGGAAAGTGATGTTGTTTAAAAATTACACCATTCCAGGCCCTTTTGTTTGCCACATAATTAATATTACCAATAATTAACAAGTTCCAGGTGGATTCCGATACCGATACCAATAGTATATGTCAAATGTAGTTTCCTGTTACCTTCTGTAAATCCCGTCTCTATCAGAACCTGGAATTCTTCCAGTAGTTATTTTATATCTTTGTTACACTATGTTACACTATTTGATAAGTCTGTTTCTTCCACCACAATACCCCTATAATTTTGTTTAATTTGTTAGAAAAAAAAATCAAGTTTATTGTTGTAAGAAAAACCAGGACGGGTTCAAGCAAAACGATTTTGAAAACAGAGAAAATTGTGCAACTTACAATCAGCATGACTTTATCAGATTGGTCAGGTATTCAGTAAAGATATGTCTCTCTACATGTATATTACCTGTAACTGATGAGTAACAATAATTACAGTTTTCCCTTTGAGGGCTTTGGTCAGGTATTCAGTAAATATATGTCTTCCTACATGTATATTACCTGTAACTGATGAGTAACAAAGATCACAGTTTTCCCTTTGAGGGCTTTGGTCAGGTATTCAGTAAATATATGTCTTCCTACATGTATATCTACTGCTGATAAAGGATCATCCAATAAATATACATCTTTATCTGCATACAGAGCCCTGGCCAAACTGATCCTCTGCTTCTGGCCACCGCTAATATTTATACCTTTCTCACCTATCTACAAAAGATAACAAATTATTTGTGAGCGACAAGTTCTCATCTCGAAGTTATTCTTGAAATCACTATTGTCATTCTTCAACGCATGTCAATTAATATGAAATATTTGGTCGCTGTTTTAAGATAAAAGAGTTTCAGGTTGATGCATAAACATGTGAAAAAGTGAAATAGAATCATGATTTTGGTTTAAAGTCTCGTCATTTATACTGTTCCCAAAAAAGGCCAAAAATAGACATGTTGGTGATAGAAGACACAATTACCTAAAGGCCTAGGAAACCTATAGCACACATTAAATCCTTTTTTAAAACATTGCGTATAGATTTTCAATGTACTTATTTATAATTAATAGATATAGGAAGATGTGGTATGAGTGCCAATGAGACAACTCTCCATCCAAGTTACAATTTATAAAAGTAAACCATTATAGGTCAAGGTACGGCCTTCAACACGGAGCATTTGCTCACACCGAACAGCAAGCTATAAAGGGCCCCAAAAAATTACTAGTGTAAAACCATTCAAACGGAAAAACCAACAGTCTAATCTATATAAAAACGAGAAGTGAGAAACACGTATGAACTACATAAACAGACGACAACTACTGTAATCAGATTCCTGACTTAGGACAGGTGCAAACATTTGCAGCGGGATTAAACGTTTTAATGGTACCAAACCTTCTCCCTTTTCTGAAACAATAGTATAACATCACAACATAGAAAAACACACTATAAAATATCAATTGAAAGGCTTAACTCAATCAAAAAACGTAAATTAACACACAATGAACGAATAAATTTGACCTGTGACACCTGAATGCAAATACACAGTTAATAAAAAATTACAAGGGATAAATAATTAAAGTCAAAAGTAAATAAACAGGTTTAAACAAAGTTAAAGTATGATACATGTATCACTGTGAAATTTCAAACAATTTATAGAAAATCATCACTTTTGAAGAAACCTGCGTCATATTATACACAGGTAAATGAAAATAATTTTGTCGTTAAGTATACTTCTTCTTCTGTGTGTATAAAATCTTCCGTTTAGGAATACCAATCCACTTATATTTACCTCTGTTTCACTGCCAGATACAAAAGATTCTATATCTTCTTGTAAACAACAGGCATGGATTACATCATTGTATCTGGAAATATAAAAATGGTATAATTTATTACCATGTATTGATCTTAGTATAAAGACATATAAAACATCAAAACTTATCACATAAGAGGTGTTCCCTTTTCCTGTATCACTCTGATTAGCTCTTCATAAAATTGCATATCACAGCTTTGTAACATCAAATATGCTTGCCCTGACTTAATAACTTTGACCTGAACTTATCAAGTCCTTTTCAGGTTTGCTATTAAAACAAAGGAAAAGAGTTGATTCTATCATAAAAAACACAAATAAAAAAAAATCATCATATTGATATTGATATTGTCAACTGATCAACACAATATGAAGCCTTTTTGAACTCATTTGCTGAAATCATTTAAAAAAACGTTTCATATTGTGACTTACAACTGATATTTTACAGTATCAGCTTGAAGAAATTTTATATCAATATCATATTGTCTCTCAAAAACATAACAGGGAATATCATTACTGTATATATTTACAATCTGTCTTTACATTATATATGTAAACCAGTAACCATTTCCAGTACAAGCAATTGATTATTTTTAAACATTTTTATTTCAGTTGGACTTGTGAAAGAAAAATGAAAGAGCATATAAAACTTAATAAGCTTGAGGAAATAGAAGGAAATTATATAATTAATGCCTTATATCATAGTGTGACCTTTTTCAATATGTTATTCAGTACCTAAATGAAGAAAGGACTATTGTCTTTCATTATTATTCATAAGTTGAAAAAGCTGATCTACAAAGCAAAAATGGCATCAATACTTTGTTGAAAATGATTTTAAGTCTATAAAATAAATATTCAATAGAACTTCAGGTATAAATTGGAAATGAAAAAAATGGAAACTTGTTTTCAAAGCAATGCAACAACAAGAAGTTTAAAGCTGGCACTTCCAACTGATGCTCTCAGAGCTGTACACTGAAACATTGAAAAAAATAAAACTTTTATTTCAAGAGTTCAAAATACCTGTATGCTTCGAAAGAAAATAAAATATGTACTATTGTTGCTTATTTTTCACCTGTATAAATGTGTTTAAATTCATAGTGGAATACCAACTCGAAACCAAATTAATTTTTTTTATTGGCAGTGACCTTGCATTTTTAAAGCAAGTAAGTGGCTTCTTCTCATATTCTAAATCTTCCATCTGTTAAAGTTTACTTCCAATCAAGCCAGGGAAACTGAAGTAACCATCCAGAAACCATTTTTCTAATATTTTTTTTTTCAGTAGCATTGGCCTTGACCTTTGATATTTTGACCCAAAAAATAGGAGACTTCTTCCATTGAACTATATATTTCATCTGTATAAATTTCATTTCAATCAAGAAATGAAAACTCATGTTACCAACTGGATAACATTTTTTTACCATTTGTTTTTTTTTTTACTGTTTCTATTACAGTGACCTTACTTTTGACGTATTAACCTCAAAATTAATCGGCTTTTTTCTTCCCTATTTCTTCTATCTGTATAAGTTTCATTACAATCAACCATGTGAAACTCAAGTTACCATCAAACAAGAGGCTGTTAGAGTGACAGCAAACCGGATTTTTTAACATTTATTTGTGTCCTGGCATATTTCAATATCACAAGGACCATAACTCCTGAACGGTAAAAGTGACAATCACCAATATCAAACCTGACCTCCATTTTGTCATCAGTAACAACATATTAAAATTGAAAAGCTTTGGATAAACGGTTCATGAGTTACAGCACGGACACGACTGGAAACACCATTTTTAATTTTTCAAGAACCATAACTCCTGAACGGTGAAAGAGACAATCTTCAATATTGAACTTGACCTCCATTTTGTCATCAGTAACATATTAAAATTTGAAAAACTTTGGTTGAACGGTTCATGAGTAAATGCACGGACACTGTTTGGGAGCCGCCCGCCGTACATCCCCAAATAAATAACCGATTTTTACTTCGTAAATCCGGTTAAAAACCTTTTTTTAAAGAAAATTCTATTGTTTTAGTAGCAGTGACCATAATCTTAGACTTCTCCTTCCCTACATTCTTTATCTGTATAAATTTCTTAAAAACAAGGAAATTACCACCTGGAAACAATTTGTTTCAGACACATGGATGGAAGGGAGAACAGACATTAAGATCACGAAAGAGGGATGAACTGAAGGACAAACATACAAAGCCCTAAATATATGCTCAAAACTTTTTTTCAAGAAGCATAAGCTAGCGGAATCTACTGTAAAACGCAAACTAAAAAAAGAATATAATACTAGACTTCATTTATAAGCATGCATGTTAGATAAAATATAAAATTATCAAAATTCTAAGGTTGTTGTATTATTAAGATACAAGTTATATGTAATAAAGTATAATTTATATTCTTTATATATAAAGCGTACTTTTTTTCATCATAAAGTTCTTCAAACAGAATATTATCTTTGACTGTGGCATTCATTATCCAGGCTTGCTGAGAAACATAGGCCAGACTTCCACTTACACCCATCCTGCCGTCCACTAAATTCATCTGCATAAAGTAAAAAAATACGGCTTACAAAACTTTTGTCCCAGATGCAAACTAATCAATAAATGAATCTTAATTAATTATAACAAGATTGATTTTGCTGGACAATCATGTACAAAAAACATTAAATTTTACCTCAAGATATTGTTCATCATATTATATACTATGAACCTTGTACAAGAATTTGTGTCAATATGACAACATGCCACAAACTATCACATTGGTATATTCAGACAGCTGTAAAATCTGTGTCAAAACCCTAATTTGGCATGTAATTTCAAAATTTACTTTATAATGAACACGTCTCAAGTTGGTGTGACCACAAAGCACATTAAACAAAACTTTAACCTGCCTTTAACCAAAATTTGATACAAGGCAGATGGACTAATATATAAGTTAATATAATGTCCCCTACTATCCTAAGCAGTGATTACTTGTCAGATCAGGAAAGGACTTAAGCTTGGTTTATACTTCGAATGCAATAGCGATGTGACTTACAACAAGATCAACGTGATGAGAATGCTATTGAACTACTAGGACATAATTTAGGATATATTTTTATCGCAATTTTACTTTGCGTTCCAGGTGATAAAACCATGCTCAAAATCAGCAACGCTTAGCACAATTGCTACAGAGTTGAAATTATTTGAAAATATACTTGACAGATGAAGAGATAGCTGGACAGAGGGCAAAGAAGGGACAAGGTCATTGCAGTTATACCAAACGTTTTGAAAGTTAGATTATAAAGCTATGTGGATTTGGTATGAAAACTGGTAAACAATTTTAAATAAAAAAAAACATTGATACAAATACAAATGGGAATACTTTATCAAACCAATCCTCTGCCCCTCAAGGGCATATTACTAATGAGTATAAATAGACATCAGTGATAAGTCATAAAGCAATAATGATAATGCTAATGATGATATGAAGTTAACTACAGCACTTGTTTTCTTATTGTAAAACATTTATAACAAATCAAAGCTACATAGTCGCATATTTCTTCGTGTTCGCATGAAAGAAGCCAAATAAATCTGTTTTCTCTATCTAGATTGTTTAAAGTAATACAAATTTCTAAAACAGAATCTAACATAACTTGTCGTTGTTGTTCGAATGCTGGTTATGAATTAAAATGATGCATAATTACCCTGCCTAGGATACTAGAAATAAGGGAGCTTTTACCACTACCAACACTGCCACATACACCAATAATTTTACCCTACAAAATAAAAGAAACTTGTCATCTGTTATGTCTAGAAATTATATACTAGTAAGCAGAAATGGTGAAGTCCATGTTTTGGAATGGGAAACCTTAAACATCACTCTGATGAAAAATAAAAACACCAGGTGGACAAGTTCATGTCCTGTAGAAGAATTTGTACAAGTTTTGTGGAATTCTGTTAAAACCTTTCCAAGGAGTTGTGGATTAAGAAAGTAACTGATATAGGCAGAACTAATTTACTATGGATCGATTATTAGTTGGATACCAATTTTCGGGATTTCATTTGTTCAAGGCGAACCACGAATTGTAATGTTCAACAAATGTCTTGTATGCAGACTTTGGCAAAACCAAACAAAATAAATCCACGAAAGTTTTTCTAATCTAGGAAAATTGGTACACACAAAAATAAATGAATCCACAGCAGTGTATTATTTGGTATGGGAAATCCTAAGTATCTTGCAGATCGAAAATCAAAATAGTAAGTGCACAACTTCATGCAGATCAATTGATTGATTTGTGGTGTTTATCGCCACTTTCGGCACTATTGGCTTTTTCATTTCAACCAGTTTTTATTGGTGAAGGAAGCCGGAGTACCCAGAGAAAACCATCGACCTTCCGCAGGAAAACTGACAATTCCTAGTCTAGTCAATCAAGATAGAGTCAAATGCACATCACACGTGCGGGGTTTGAACTCACAATCTCAGTGTTGACAGGCTAATGATATATTAGAGTTGCTACTTTGACCACTCAGCCACTGAGGCTCAATGGAACCGGGCCACTATGATATAAGCTGGTTTTCACGTCCTGCAACCACGTACAAAACTTTGATATAATGTTCAACAATTACTCAATGAAAATGAAGTATAACCATAATAAAGATGTCTCTACCTTTTCTAAGGTAAAGTCAATATCGCAAAGGGTTCTATCTTGAGAAGACCAGCTCTGGTTATCATCTGTATCTTCTTGAAGAGTCTGTTTCTCATCAATATTCTGTTTGCTGGACATGTCTTTTCCATTTGGAACATTAACTATGATTTATAACATAATAACAGATTGAGTACAACAAAAGAATAAACGGGGAAATGATATACCATATAATTCAAATGAAAAGGAAAATTCAAAATTTAAATGATATAATTCTTCTGTGATGAATATCTCTGTATAGCAATAAGGAGATGTGGTTTGATAGCAAATGAGAAAACTACCCAACAGAGTTGAAATGATTAATATCAATAAGTTAGGTTATAAAGCTCCAGCGAACAACTAGAATAACTAACCTTTTGTTTCTATATCAGTTCTGCCATCTTTGATTATTTCTATGTTTGCTTTATCAACATCCCATGCAAATGAGGCATTTTCCATCTCCACCATATGATTAGGGTTACTTGTCTTGGTATGATATTCTTTGATTTCTTCCATCAGCAGCACACTCTTAAACAGCATAATTGAAAAATTTAACACATTTTACATTTTTGTGTACTGTTGTTTGTCTGTTTGTCTTTTTATTTTTAGCCATGTCGTTGTCAGTTTATTTTCGACTTATGAGTTTGAATGTTCCTTTGGTTTCTTTCGATCCTCTTTTAATACACAACAGCTTAAATATACAATCCATGCATTATTTTTTTATCTTTAAAAATTTAAGTAAACTATGTAATATTTGACAAATCTGCATAGAAAATAGTCAAGAGCTCAAGTGACTAAAAGGGTTTTTTCCTCACTGAAATTATTTTTTCATAAATAGTCTCTCAATACTTATCCTGTGCATTTTGACATTAAACATAAAATATCATTTATTTAAAACCTGAATTATACAATAAAGGAATATTCATGTTTACATTTAATGAGAGTAAATAAAACTAGTTTCAAAGTAATATTTATCTACAATTTCAATTGTGTTGTTCTACAACGTTTATACTTTTGTTCCCTGTAACAAATGTAACTAATTTCATGACTACAAAGCTTGCTTTGCCAAAACACTAACTTAATAAGAGCAGGAAAAGAACTGAAATATAGGTCCTTAGTAGCAGGTTTCATTTCATGAAATGAAAGTCTTTAGTAAAAGGTAACAATTCATAAGATGTAGGTCCATAGCAACATATATAATTTATTGCGGTGTAGTTCCCAAGTAACAGTTATCATTTCATAAGATTTAGGTCCTTATTACAAGTATCATTTCATAAGATGTGGGTCCTTAGTAAAAGGTAACATTTCGTAAAATGTAGGTCCTTAGTAACAATTATAATTTTGTGAGATATACATCCTTAGTAACAAGTATCATTTCATGAGATGAAAGTACTTATTAACCGTTATCATTTCATGAGATGTAGGTCCTTAGTAACAGGTATCATTTAATAAAATGTACATCCTTAGTAACAGGTATCATGTCATGAGATGTAGCTCCTTAGTAAAAAGATAACATTTCATAAAATGTAGGTCTTTAGTAATATTTATCATTTAATGAAATGTAGGTTCTTAGTAACAGGTATCATTCATGAGATGAAAGTCCTTTTAAAATAACAGTTATCATTTCATTTCGTGAGATGTAGGTCCTTTGTAACAGGTATCATTTCAAGCAAGTTAAGTGCATGATAAAATTGAGAATGGAAATGGGGAATGTGTCAAAGAGACAACAACCCGACCATAGAACAGACAACAGCAGAAGGTCATAAACAGGTCTTCAATGCAGCGAGAAATTCCCGCACCCGGAGGCGTCCTTCAGCTGGCCCCTAAACAAATATATATACTAGTTCAGTGATAATGAACGCCATACTAAACTCCAAATTGTACACAAGAAACTAAAATTAAAAATAATACAAGACTAACAAAGGCTAGAGGCTCCTGACTTGGGACAGGCGCAAAAATGCGGCGGGGTTAAACATGTTTATGAGATCTCAACCCTCCCCCTATACCTCTAGCCAATGTAGAAAAGTAAACGCATAACAATATGCACATTAAAATTCAGTTCAAGAGAAGTCCGAGTCTGATGTCAGAAGATGTAACCAAAGAAAATAAACAAAATGACAATAATACATAAATAACAACAGACTACTAGCAGTTAACTGACATGCCAGCTCCAGACTTCAATTAAACTGATTGAAAGATTATGTCTTCATCATATGAATATCAGGCACAATCCTTCCCGTTAGGGGTTTAGTATCATACCATCATAACATATATGAGAAGAACATAACCCGTGTCATGCCAACAACTGGTTTTTAAATAAATGTGTTTAGTGCCGATGCAAAGACCCTATAAGTGAATCAATATTAACGCCAAAATATTCAATCTTTAATGACCTGACAACAGTATCGTAACTATATCCCTTCTTAATAAGTCTATTTAAAGGTTTTGTTAGCTTCAGAGGTGAATACTGACATTTTTGTGCTTTATAAAGAATATTTCCATAAAAAATTGGATGTGAAATACCTGAACGTATAAGAAGTCTGCATGTTGAGCTATATTTACGAATGATGTCCTTATACCGATGATAAAATTTAGTAAATGTTTTGACTAGTTTGTGATATCGAAAACCCTGGTGTAATAATTTTTCAGTAATACAAAAATTTCTCTGGTAAAAATCTAAAACATTGTTACATACACGAGCGATGTATGCATCATTTATAAAAATAAATTATTTATGTCAACTAACAATTTGGAAACAAATGTCATCATCAGCTGCCATTCTTACTATTAAATCATGAAACCTTTTTATCGGAATATAAACATATCCCACAGGCATCATAATAAGTATGAACATATAATGGTGATAAACTTTTCAGTCCATTGTTACTTTGACAACAAAACTTCAAAACCGAAGAGCTCAACCATATATACCAATGCATGTCAGAACAATGAGAAGAATGTTGTAGTGAATAATGATTATAGATAAGTCCGTGAATGTAAGGGGAAGGTAAAGGGGATATTCAAATCGTTAAGGAGGCAGGCAAGTACAAGTATGTGCCTGTGACAGCCAGGTATCTGTAATCCAGTAGTTTTCGTTGATTACTGTATGTCATATTTATTTTTGCTGTTTACGAAACCCAGTACATATTCCATAAATAAATATTTATAGAGGTAAAAACTATGAAATCTAGGTTCAAAAAGAAGTTACTGTCATTATTCCAAAAGAATGGTTACCTTATTGTTAAAAGGTTATAAATGAAAAAAGTCAACATAAGGTGAGTAGTTTTTATCAAAATTCAAACAATTTATGCAAATTATCTACTGTATGATTTTGAACTGATCCCACGTAAGCAATAAGCTGAGGTAAACTGAATAAGACAAGGACCATTCAATCACTGAAAATTCTTCAGTTTTAATTCATGCGGTGATAACTAAGGTTAAACTGAACATGAAATCAGTGTATAAATGATATATGAAGAGTGAGAAGTACCTATCAATCTACATACAGAAACCATTTCTATCAACAATAAGTATACTTCCCCTGTGTTAAGCTTAATCAATATCTTACTGTTCTCAAATTCCTTGCAAACTATTTTGACATGTATATTACTCCAACAACTATGTTTCTAAATAAAAACCACATGTTATTCTGTGAGCAAGTTAGTCCTGAAACCCATAGAAAAGGCATTATTTCAAACTCATCAAAATAATTGTAGATTTCTTCCACACGTAATGATTGGCAATAACCATAAAAATCCATGACATGGCTTTTTATTTCAAGGTTTCCAAAATGGACGTATTGTTTGAACTTCTGTTTGTTTATTTGTTTCTTATTTAAATATAAAAATGAGTAGAGGTGGTACGATTGCCAATGAGACAAATGAAGTGAAATTAAGCAATTATAGGCAACTGTACGGCCTTCAACAATCATAAAAACTCATATCGTATAGTCGTCTATAAAAGTCCCCGACATGAAAAATATCAAACATTTCAATTGAGAAAACTAACGGCTTAATTTACAACTAAACAAACTACAGACTACAGGCTCCTGACTTGGGAAAGGCACATAAAGAATGTGGCGGGGTTAACATGTTTGTGAGCGCTAAACCCTCACCTGGGACAGTGGTGTTACAGCACAACACAAGTACAAAATCAGTTGAAAAGGGCTCAACTCGTCAGATCGATACAAAGCAGAAAAAATATCGAACAAAATCACAGACCGAACGTGGCAGGGTATTTATACATCCCTAACATTAAAAAAGACAAAGTACAGATTTGAAAGTTCTCGCAGTTACTGACAGCTAGTTCAAAGCCAATAACAACTAATAAAAGAATTATGTATCTAAGACTAAAATATCAATCAGTGCACATCCAACATCCAATGGATTTAGCGTAAAGACGTCATAAACAGTCAGCGAAAAACATCACCTTGTACAATGCCATAATATAGGTATCGACAGATTGTAGTACCCTGAAAGTGCATGTGTGTATAACAATACTATTTAGTATGGTTTTAATATACTGATAACAAAATCAATATTTATACGAATAAAACCAACATTCAAAGACTTAATTACAGTGTTGAATTGGTAACCTTTCAAAATAAGTTTATTTAAATGATTGATAAGTTAATCAGGATGGTTTCTCAATTTCCGGGCTCGGTAAACAACATCACCGTAAAATTTAGGATGTGCTATTCCGTTTGAAATAAGTTTTCTACAGATGCAGCCAATTTTGCAAACCAAATATTTGTATCTATGGAATAAGTTGGTAAAGTTTTTAATTGATTTTTGGTAATGAAATCCCTGACTTAATAATTTACCAGTAATACATAGATTACGCTCATGGAAATCTTAAACGTCACTACAGACATGGGCAAAGCAAACAAGTTGGGATATAAAAACACCGTAAGACGGGGAAAAAAAGGAGCATCACTGTCCAAAAAAGAAAAATTAACAAAACCGAAAAAATTATCACTTTTGTCGTAAATGTTTTGTGTAGAATTTCTGGTGTAAAACTATAATATCTCAACTCAAAAAAGGAGAGTTATTGCTGCAAACATTTGATTTATTTCAAGTAAGTTCTTTGGGTAAATATTGGAAGAGAATATTGGAAGAGAACTCTTGATTATTTAACGAAAAAAGACAATGGTAAGTGTTGCTGAATTTATCAGTTAAATGGAATTTAAATGGGTCTTACCGAGTTTGGTCATAAACTGTAATTCATAACAGTACAGGAACAAGTCTGCTATTGAAGGGGCACAATTGGTGCCATATGAATACCTACAACCTGTCGATAAACTTTCTTGTCGAAACGTACTTAAATGTTGTCAAGGAGGATATTAACGGCTTTAATCATCTTAGCATACCTCCAGTAAGTATATGTAGCATATTTACCTTTCTCATTTGAGAAAAAGGCTTAAAATGAGTTGCAGCATATATATTTTGCAAGATTTTTCAAACGAAGATTTAATTAAATAGGAAAACTTTTGTTTGATAAGATTGAATGGAAGTGTAGTATAAAGGGTGGAAAAGTCATACATGTCAACCAAATCAAAAGGACCATTAAAAGCACGTTATTTTTCTTAAATATCCAAAGAATTTTTTAATCTCCAAAAATGGTTAATTCCACTATTTTTTATGTGTTTTATTACAAAAGTTCTTTGATAGTAGTTAAGGAACTTGTTAAAAGCAGTGAAATATTAGTAGTAGATAAACGCGTCATAGATACCAGGATTAAAATTTTGTATTAATCCAAGAATTAAAATTTTGTACGCCAGACGCTCATTTTTTCTTATTAGAACTCGAACTAGAACTAGAACACTTACTATAGACCGAGATGAAACGATCTTTCACTTTTTTGTGTTTTTTTTTTTTTTGTGTTTAGTTTAGGTTAGCAATACATAGGGGGACCTTCAAATTTTTAGAGGATTCCTTAAGCTGAGCTGTGGTTGTGGCATGAATATTTACTATATGACTCTCTGTGGAGCGTACGGTACGGCCTTAAATGTAGTTAAATGTATAATTTCATTCTTAATGACTTTCGTGTAGTGTTTACGTCATACCACCACCATATTGTTGGCTGCTTTGTCGGCCGGTACGAACACAAACGCTTTGCGAGTACTTTAATTTTGTTTTTAATCCTAGAAATGGGCGTATTACTTACTATTTTATTTAAATAGGAATCAAGTGACTTTTTTTCAGATTTCTCTCGTTTACACCATTTTTTACAATAGGATTAAAGAACATCTTTAATAACCAGACAACACTCTTTCCCAAATTGAATTAAAAAAAAATACCAATCTCCAAGGAAAATTAAAAAAGGTTCATATCAAATGGCAAAATCAAAAGCTCAAACACATCAAACAGTTCATTTTCGACGGTGGACAATATTTTGGTCTTTTTTTTCTTCAGAAAGTCTTAACCTCTCGTTCTTCAACGATGTTGAGGTCCCCTGTAGTTACATGGCCATAGGGATCATATCTAAACTTCTATGTTTCACAGTCTCATGTTGAAGGATCATTATTTTCTACACTCACATCTGATGTCACTGACGTATAATTAAAAATTAAAATTCTACTGGGTTTTTATACGAATAAGAAATTATAGGTGGTTCTATGTTATCACAGTATGGAGGTATAAAGTTTTGAACGGTAGAGTCATGAAAAATACTAGGCAAATTACCTCTATTAATGTATTCTATTTTTAGAAAATAATTTTTATGATCATCAGGGAACAGTCTATTGTGAAAAAAAGCTGTAATACGTGTACACTCATATTTTGGACTGAAATAAAATTGAGAATGGAAATGGGGAATGTGTCAAAGAGACAACAACCCGACCATAGAGCAGACAACAGCCGAAGGCCACCAATGGGTCTTCAATGCAGCGAGAAACTCCCGCACCCGGAGGCGTCCTTCAGCTGGCCCCAAAACAAATATGTATACTAGTTCAGTGATAATGGACGCCATACTAAACTCCAAATTATACACAAGAAACTAAAATTAAAAATGATACAAGACTAACAAAGGCCAGAGGCTCCTGACTTGGGACAGGCGCAAAAATGCGGCGGGGTTAAACATGTTTTTTGAGATGAGACCATATTGTATCACACTCGTTATAAATATTCTGTGATCTATTAATTGGCATTTGAACAAGTTTGCATAATAATTTATGTCTACCATTTTCTTGAATATACATATAAAATCGTCAAGTGTAAAATTAGAACGATGTTTATTTCTTGATTGCGGTTAATGCGATTGCCATGAAACCGATGATTGCGTTGTCTTTTATCAACAATAGTTATGATATATAAATAGAGGACGTTTTAGATATGTTCCCTATATGTCATTTAGACCTAGGGATAAACTGTCTGTAGTCGTTTAATCCAAGACAGTTCGCAAATTTTACGGGAATCTTCAAACTGTTTATGTGATTGTCCTGTTTGTTTCTGGACGATTTGAAGTTGTTGGAATTTTATACATTTGATATTGTGTTTGTCTATTTCTAAATGTTGGTAAACTAAACTTGAATTTCTTAAGTCTGCGGAAGCGGTATGGATGTTATTGTGTTCGTTTGAAAAATTCATTTCCAGTTTGCCCTAAATATTGAATACTACGTTTTGGTTTTGTTCATGTTACAAGATATTTGAGGCTATGTGTTTTTCAAGTAATGTCAAATGAAAAGAAGAGAGAAAAAGTTCTTGCGTTCACTGATGACCGAACAGTATTTTCTGAAGATAATCTAAGAAGGTATGTCTCTTTACTGATGTACCTTTTTATGTGCAAAATAATGGCTTCATTGAAATATATTCATTTTTTCATTCAATGGAATAATCTGAAACATGTTTACAGAGGTAAGTCTTCGGCAGACTTTTTAAATTGTAATTTATAGAAATGTTACTTGATGTTAAAAAGTTGACACTAGAATTATCTACAGAAGTTATGATGTTGTTAGTTTTAAAAGCAACATGCCTTGATAAGTATATGTTTTATAATGAAAATAATAAAAAAAACTTGTTGACAGTTTTTCAAAGAATAATCTAACCAGATTATATCTTTGTGCTTTAATTTCTATGAAGGTTTTAAGTTTTAAAAAACACAATGTTTGCATTGTTTTTTGTTTCATCATATTTTGAATTATGTAATGTACACTTCAGTTTAAATGCTTTAAATATGAAAAAATATATTTTGAGGCAAACTGTGTTTGGTAAATATTTTCCACTCAATCACTCCATGTAATATATTCTTTGATATGAAACTGTCAACATTTTTCAAGAAATAATTAATACAAACAAGTGCTAATAACTAAAAAAAACAAGTGCTATTACAAAACCGCTAGATTTCATGTAGAAAATCTTAATGATTTGACTATATAGTTATAATGCAGATATTTAAGTGCATCGCATATTCAAATAGTATCAATCTCGAAGAAACTAACCAAACTTGCATTATTATAATAGTAAAAATTCAATCGGTCAAAATACTGCTTTAAATGTTTAGACTACATGTGAAAATATAACTGGAATAAATTTAGGAAACTCAATAAAACAAGTTTACTATAAAGTAGAAAGACAACTACATTTTACTATACTAAGCCCCACATCACATCACAAGCTTTTAATATCATCAAATTTTATTTAATTTGTACAAAAAGGCCTATATGAAATGAAACGGCAAGGTCTCAATGAATTAATACTGCCCAGTTACTTATACTACCTCTTATGGATCTTTCAAATAATGGTTTTGATATTTGCTTCTATTTAATTTTTATTTAAACAATAGACCTTTGATATCTATCTATTTTTTGCCATGGACTTGGCCATTAAATAATTTCTCAACTGGTTATTAAGCTATGATAGCTTGCTTCTAAATAATCTTGGAGTTGCCTTAACCTGCAGCCACAATTCCATTAATCATGCCTTTAGTGTTGATTCTGCTGATAGTCTGCACCAAAATATTTTCCAACTACTAGTCTGAAGACCAATATTCCAACATTTGTCTTATGTGTCTAAACAAAGTTTTGCAAATACTGACTATTCCAAGTAAAATTTTACTAGTCTCGGGCATCGGACTAGTGGCTAACAGTTCAGACTTAATTAGAAAAAACAGTTGATTTACCATTACTTACTAACTTACTTACTGCCCTGGATGCAATAGTTGATTTACCATTAAACTGTGTAAAATGATAGGAATAATGGATGGTTACATAGACTGAACAAAATTGAAAGGGTTTTGCTCATTATTGAAGGCTGTACGATGACCGTTTTATACATCCAGGTCATTTGGAATGCGGTGGATAGTTGTATCATTGGCAAACATACCACATCTCCTTACTTTATAACAAATGCAAGAGTGACAAGATTAACTCTTGTGGTATAAAAAGCAGCTATTGAAAGGAAGGCTTCAATGTATAATTGTTAAAGACATTTTTCAGATAGTTGTGTTTAAGCTATGCACAGAAGGCACAAACAATATGGTTTATGACTATACCAAAACCAGTGTTAATTACCTTAAATCTTTTCATTGCTACAGAACAAGTGACTGATAATAAATGGGAATCCCGCTATTGGGTGTCTCATGGCATTTAAAAATGGCTATCAGTATAAAAGCCACAAAATAGGTGTTACAGTATACTATGACCAATGACAATTTATTGTAAAGTGTAAGTCAAATTACAGAAAACAAACAGTCTAAATTCAAGTGCCCATGATTTTACCTTCATTTGTTTTTAAGACAAAATCCATCAACTAATTGATTGGTGACATGTGGTAAAGCAGCTAGCGGATTTCTCATTGCATTAAAAATTGCTTTCAAAACAAAAGGCCTAATTTTTTATTAAATCATTCCCTATGCCTGTATTCAACATTTTTGATTAAGGCTTCGTTATTGATAATATCTGAGTTTGATAACAACACTCCATTGTCTTGATTATGCAGAGAGCCAAAGAGACATAGCAAGATTTGCATTATAAAGCCAAGTGAAACTTTATAAGATTTTCTATATGCAAAGAATAAAATCCAATTTGCTTTTGTTGTTTTTACCTTACATCGGTCAAGTGAAACTCTGACTTCTGACAAATTTTTAATGGACATAGGGATTATCCCTAGAGAAAATTTCATTGCATTAAATATAGCAACAAGCGTAAAGGCCTGAAAAAAGTAATAATACTGATGTAAATAGGAAAGAAGATTATCAATATTATAATGACACATGTAAAACTGACAATTATAAATTTTAAAGTGTTTCATTGAATTAACTAGAAAGCTAATGTAAATGATCTTATCTGTCACTCAGGTTTAAATGAATACTTACCATAGTTGAAAATTTAACTGATAGCCATAAGTTTTCATGTTTGTGAGTGTGTGTTGGTCTTAGCTATATCTCTTTTCCCACCAGTTGTGTGTGGAAAATTTTTTCATCAGAAATGTACCTAGAAAAATTCATATAAAATGTGTAGACCAGATTTTTAAACTTCCTTAAATATTCTTAATTATTCCTACCTGTGTGGCTGTGATGTCATGTCCTGTCATGACATGAGCAGTAATAACAAAAATACCAGCAACGATAGGAACCATTGGTGCTATAGACTGACTAACGCTCTGTACAAAGGCTGTCCTCTCTAAGTAACCTCTCTCATGTTTACGGATCTCTACAAAAACACCAATCATCTAATATACATTCAGCTAATGAAAATCATTAATAACAACATAATAAAATTTGAAAAGCATTGGCAGAACAGTTCATAATTTATTGCACGGAAATGACACAAAGTGCCATTTCCAATCTATCAAGGACATTAACTTCTGAACAAGAAAAATAAAAATCATAAATATCAAATTTGACATCCTTTTTGTCATCAGTAATAGCATATTAAGCTTTGAAAAGAATTGGTTAAAAAGTTATTGCAAGAACAATAAAAGTGTAATTTTCCAATCTTTCAAAAACCATAATTTCTGAACATCAAAAGTGAATTGTTCAAAATCAAAGTCAAACATTTTAGAAAACAGTGTGTTCAACACAGCAACTTTGATTTCAATATAGGAAATAACAGTTTACAATATGTAACTCAATACAAATATCGTATCGTTATTTTGAATGATACAATGGATTTCAGTGTTGCCACTGAACTATTAGGTAAAACTGGAGGGGATGATATAAAAAAAAATCACTTTTTTAAAAACGTTGGATTTGAAACATTTGAAACCCTGTTTTGAGTCATTTGTTGTACCAGTTATTAACTACTGTGCAGATGTTTGGATATTCAAAACATACCACTAAATTGAAGCTGTACAAAACCGTGCTGTAAGATACTTTTTGGGATTACACGGATCTGCACCAGTTGTTTCACTGAACAGTGAACTATGCTGGCTACAGCCAACTTTCAGACTTGGACAATGATAGACTTACTAAAAATCATTTCCTTGGAACTATAACAATACGAGTCAGTGGATCTCTCAGAAAAAGAACATGTTTGACCAAGTGGACAAGGTCAGATGCTATGAAAATGTAAATGCATGCAACATTGAACTATATAACGAAACTTATGGAATATTGTGAATTAAGTGAACAGGTAAAACAGTTACTCTCCAAAACCTATAAAACATCAAACATCAAACCTGAAATTTTCTTTGCGAATGGTTTCTCCCATGCATACATCTTTATCAGTTTTATACAATTCAGTAACTCCGTCATTTGTTGTACCTAATAATTGAATCAAATGATTGTCAATTTTACCTGGTAAACAGACTTGGTTTTAATTATTAACTTCTTAACAACCAGCAACAGATATTCTGTTTATTTTAAAATCTTAGAAAGCTTGGTAACACACACTTGCATGTTTTTTACTCTCAATAAACACTGAGGCATTAATAAACAGCTTAATTTCATTAATGACATATATACTGGTATATGACAGTTGATAATAACAGAAGAAAACTCAAATTTTAGAATAATATACATGTATATTTAAGGATTTTTGAAAGTACATTACATTTTAATTTCCATATACTCAAATTATAAACCAGACTTGTATTTCCATCCCTCGGGCCAACAAAAGCATCACAGGGCTGAAAATGATCTACAATTCACAATCTATTGGAAGCTGATATAAGCCAACTTGTGGTGTGGTTTAACTCATTTTGTAAGAACTCAACCTGTATAAAATTGAACTGAAAAAAAATACTAAATTATACTTACTCTTTTATCAGTGATAGCAATACATTTACGTCTTAGTCTAGTTGTTATTCTTGATATTAAACCCTACAATACAATAAAAGTAGAGCAAAGATTAGAATTGTTGGGTTGCACAGAATGTTTCTTATAACAATGAAGAATGGTCTATAATGAACATTAAAATACATGGAACGTGTAAAAAATAGGAAAAAACATCTTTAAACAGCTCAAAACTGGGAGGCGCATATTTTCAAAAGGTGTGCAAACATTCTGTGAGGTGTCAGGATCTTGGTGGAAAACTGTAGAAAGAACTGATTATCAAAAATGTGCTGTCTTTTGTTAATTTGGCTGATAAATTACTAAGATCCCAAGTCTGAAAAATTGGATAAAATTCTTCAAACAATTCCATAATAGCTAGCAGGTGCGTCTTCGTTATGTGTGCAATCTTTCGAGAAAATTTCAAGGACTACGGTGGAAAACTGTGGGAGGAGTTAATTACACAAAATAATTTCCCCTTTAGTAAATATTACTGAAAATGACTGTTTCCAAGTCTAGAATATGGTGAAAATTCCTCAGACAACAGCATTAAAACAGGTGCAAAACTTAAATACTAGCACAATCTTTCTGTGAAGGATCTGGGTTGAAAACTGTAGGAGTAGTTACGGCCAGAAATCACCTTTAAATTGTAGACAACAAAAGACAAAATCAATAATAAATTCAACAAGATTTATTATACAATTTTACCAGAAATATTATGCAAATTGAAATGTCAACTTAACTGTTAAAATATCTGAATGTTCGATCCTAATCTTTTCTTCATCCGGAACTCTTAACCTAACTGTTACGGAATCCAAACGGAATATTATGTCCAATAAATTCACGAACTAGTATGATGTTGTAGAATTTACCAATAAATAACTCCAGAGATCCTTTGAGTTACTTGTATATTTATGTTACGTTAGTCCAATTCGCCTTCTATATATACATAGTTACCACGGAAAGTTACTGAACACTATAGAAGGGAAACTTCTAGTACACTGTAGAAGGGAAACTTCTAGAACATGGTAAAAGTTTAAATTACGCATCGTATATTATGATCATTCTGGAATTATTTGCAAGTCAAATAGAAAGTTCTAATCCTTCCATCAGTATCTATAATTGTTCCAGTGATTTCTAAACTACACGATAACATTATTTTGTAAACAACTATAAACAGGTCACAACCCAATTATGTAAACATCTTATAAGGCCAAACAAAAGAAACTAGACCAAGTAAAATAATTATAATAATTACAATCTCATAATAATATATACAAACATGGTATATACACAGTTTTATTAATGAGATCTAGATAAAGCATCTGTTATTACATTATCTTTACCTTTAATATGTTTTATAATAACATTATATTCCTGTAACAATAAACTCCACCTTGTCAACCTCTGGTTCTTGTTTCTCATTTTTTGTATGAAGGTGAGAGGATTGTGATCAGTAAAAACAAGAATATGATGCATAGTTTTAGATATACATCAAAATGTTGAAGTGCAGACAACAATGCCAAACACTCTGTTTCAACAGTTGAATAATATTTATGATGTTTATTTAATTTCTTGGAAAAATATGAAATGGGTTCCTCAACATTATCATCGGTCTCTTGATATAAAACAGCTCCAACTCCTACACCACTTGTGTCAACGGCAAATTTGAATTGTTTTTCATAGTCTTGAGTGATCAGAACAAGATTGTTAATTAAAAGTAATTTGCTATTTTCAAAAGCGTTTTGACAATTATCACTCCAGATGAATTTAGAATCTTTCCGTAAAAGATGAGTCAATGGTTGAACAACAGTAGCAAAATTTGAACAGAATTTCCTGTAAAATCCAATCATCTCTAAATATCTCATAAGTTGTTTTTTTATTTGTAGGAGGGGGCATCCACTTTAGCCATAATAGGTTTCACTTGACCTTGGCCGACTGTATGACCTAAATAATCAACAGTGGCCTGACAAAATTCCCTTTTACCAAGATTAACAGTCAAATTTGATTGTGACAATCTACCAAAAGTATCATATAACTGTGTTAAATGCTCTTCCCAGCTATCACTACATGCAATAAGATCATCAATATAAGCCTAACAACAGTCTAAATATTTTATCACATTATTGATCATTCTTTGAAATGAAGCTGGAGCACTTTTCATACCAAACGGCATGACAGTATACTGAAATAAGCCGTCTGGTGTGACAAAAGCTGATATTTCACGAGCTCTCTGTGTCAAGGGCACCTGCCAGTAACCTTTCAATAAATCAAATTTGCTCACAAATTTTGCTGGCCCAATGTTATCAATGCAGTCGTCTATCTTTGGAATCGGATAGGAATCAGATTTTGAAACTGAATTAACTTTTCTGAAATCAGTTACGAAACGAAAGGTTTTATCTGGTTTGGGCACAAGGAGACAAGGAGAACTCCATTCACTGTTAGTCGGCTCAATAATATCATTTTCAAGTATATACCTAATTTCCACAGTCTTAGAATCAAAAGGTGGTTCAATTATATCTGGTTTGTTATGATCGTTCTCCAATTTAACTATTGCTAAAGTGGCAACTGGTTTGCTCTCACCTTCATTAGCACGTTCAAAATATGGTTTTAACATATTAATGTGATACACTCTATTTTGTTTACGCCGACCTGGAGTTTTTACAATATAATTCAGATTATTGATTTTACTCTCTATGTCATAAGAACCACAGTATTTAGCCTGTAAAGGATGTCCAGGGACTGACAAAAATACAAGTACTTTATCATCAGGCTCAAAAACTCTGCCCCCGACATCTTTATCATATCATATTTTCATCTTTTCTGAACATTTTTTAAATCGTTCTTAGCAATGTGACAAGCAGTATGCAACTTTTCTTTAAATCTAGATACATATAAATAAGAAGATGTGGTATGAGTGCCAATGAGACAACTCTCCATCCAAGCCATATTCTAGAAGATTCAAGTCAGTGTGTTCAGTAAGCCATTTATATTTAACCAATTTCAAATGTCCCCTTACAGTATGACCAAATACTAACTCAAAGGGGCTAAAACCAAGGGATTCTTGAACAGCCTCTCGGACCGCAAAAAGTAGAAAGTGAACACCATCATCCCAGTCCCTGTCAAATTGAAGACAACAAGTTCTAATCATGTTCTTCAATGTTTGATGAAAATGCTCTAAAGCACCATGCGATTCTGGATGATAAGCACTTGACCTATACTGAGCAATCCCTAATTGGTAAACGACCTGCTGAAATAAACCTATGTTTTCTATGTATTGTGTGCGATTTTGTCCCATGTACATTTACTTCATATCCTTCCATTTTCTATGAAATTTGAACCCTGGTAGGACTGTACAGACTTAGGAAGTCCTACTTATGTGAAACATTTTATAAGAGCTGTGAAAATAGCTGGTGTCTTAATACTCCTTAACGGAATAGCCTCAGGAAAGCGAGTTGATGTACACATGATTGTCAATAAATACGCATTTCCAGTCTTGGTCTTTGGTAAAGGTCTAACGCAATCAATTAGTATTCGGCTGAAATGTTCTTCAAAGGCTGGAATTGGCAGAAGTGGTGCTGGTGGTATTTTCTGGTTAGGCTTACCAACAACCTAGTATATATGGCATGATTTGCAGTATTGTGTGACATCATCCTGAAGTCTGGGCCAGTAGAAATGTTGCAAGATCTTAAGGCAAGTCTTCGTTATACCTAAATGTCCGGCCAAGGGAATGTCATGGACAAGACCAATAACTTCTTGCCTATAGACTTTAGGCACCACCACTTGGTATACTACTCCCCATCCCTCCTCTGGAATAGCATCAGGGGCCTCCATTTCCTCATTGAATGCCGTCTTGAAGGAACATGGTATAACTAGATTGAGTATCATTATGTGCAACACCACACCAGCCCATCATTAACCTATTATTTCTTTCTGAAACCTGGCCAAAAAAAGATATTGTCTGCAGAAAAGTTTTGTAAGAGGATGACCATAGTTAAATTTCCCTAGTTTGTGAAACACCAATGAAGATTTTTGTTAAGAAGTAAAATTGTTTGCACAAAAAATTGACACAAGCCTTAAACATGAAATAGTTAATTAAATAAGAGAATGACAAAGGCTGCATGATACAACGGGATGATAAAAGAATATTATATTACCACCAAAAGTTTTACAGTTGTATAAAACCATTGATTGTATAGATATACTGGTGCAAAAAAATTTGCAAACACTTCAATATATTATTGTTATCTGGGTGAATCTGTTCAGTTTGCATTGAAATTCTGATTAAATTATTTTTATTTGCTTCTCGCTGGCAAATTTTGTCTTTTTTGGTATGGATGAATTGGAATATAATAAAAAAGGAATTTCAATACATCATTTAATACAAGTTTGGTTCATGTGGTACGGAAACATTTACAGTTCCTGCATCATTGTCATTACATATGCTACCTTATCAGTGTGAAAGGAGGATTTTTTTATAAAGAATCATTCCTATACAATTTCAAATTAATGAACTAAGTAGTTTCAAAAGAGGAGAAATTTAATAATTTGAAGGGGAGAAGACGTTCTAAAATTGACAAATCAGATTTCAGGATTGCATCTATCAGCCAAATTTTTTATCTACTTGGAATGAAATAAGTAGTTAAAAAACCTTTCATATATTATTCCTACCAAGATTTATTCAAATTGGCAGTGCAATTTTAGAGGAAATCATTCCAAAGATTTAACAGATGCTGCACACCAAGTGATGGCAAAATATCACATCAGTCCTTTGGACGAGGTGAGCTAAAACTTGATTTTTATGGAACCTTATTAATGACTATTAAAACCAAGAGTTGCACGAGATGTCTTGTAAAGTATACACCAACTCGTTATAAGACAATGGCAAAATAAATCAATCAACTGTAGTCTAATAAAAATTCAAAGTATCATCAAACAGGAAGTGAATGCCATTCAGATCTAAAAAAAAAAGCTCATACAATACAACTAAACATTATAAAGTTCCTGATCTTATATCTAATCATACCTTCAAACAAAAGCTGTGAATTAAGTAATGTAAAATTTTATGCTCACTAGGTGTACAAAATTTAAAGGTATTGTCAAACAGGAAGTAACTTCATGGCAGATATGAAAATTGCCTGCATGGGTCAACTCAACATTGTAAAATTCCTGATCAAATATCAAATCATTCCTTAACATGGAAGCTGAGAATTACGAAATGAAATATTCCATGCTCAGTGGGTGAAATAAAAATTCAAAGTATCGTCAAACAGGAACTGACTGTGCAGCCGATCTGCAATTGCTTAAACAATTTTACTTAACACTATGAGGTTCTTGACCAAAATATCAAATCATGCCTTCAGAAATTATAAAGGATATTACAGATGGACATCTGTATACTTTATTTCAAATATAAGAATCTTTTTTGCACAGTAAGTTTAAAGGGGCATTAGCTACGAGATATAACAAAAATTAGAATATGATTTTTTGTTTGTTTTGTTCAATCATTAACGAAAGTGAAATAGTGAAATAATAATTCGTATTTAGCAGCCAATTTGGTTCAATTTTGTCAAAATAAGCTAAGAAACATCGCTGATGAATTATTCACTTGCAAGTGAATAATTCGACCTCATTGAATCCGTATTCATGCAACCTTCAATTTAACCTCTTAGCTGGAGATGGGTTACGCATGTTTTCAGATATTAAAAGAAAAAAAATGTCAACATTGAAAGTGAAACAAGGACGAACCATTTGGTTGACTGATTCGATCCATAAAAATCATACTTATACAGGTAAAAACGATGATAAACATATGTTTAACCTACAATACGAAATCAAACAGACCTAGAAAAATCCAATTGCAGGTGGTCGCTATCTGTTTATATTTACATGTATGGTTATATGACTGTCGGCAGTCTTCTGAGGTCGCCCCGATGGTTAATTAGATGACGTCCAGAAAAAATACACACAAAATGATGTTACATATTAAAGTGGCCATGCATTGTTAATTATTTATTTAAGACTTTTTGTAATTTGGATATACGTTTTAGTATGCTATAAATCAAACATGAGCATTTGAGTCAAATCGGTGAACATGAATTTGACAGATAATGTCCCTTTAACTAAGTAGTTCTTGACGAGTTTGCATACCATGAATTGAAAAAAAGCAAGAAAAGTCGCACTGCCAACTAAAGCCCAAGGTCCTATAAGTAATACTGTATATATCATCCCATAGACCAATATAGCAGGTCCACCAATTAACAGAGGTCCAATGGCACAGGCATCAAACAAACGCTGAGCATCATTACTACAAATGTTGACAAGCTAAAATGGATTGAAGATTATATTTCAAACATTTTGTTACTAGTAATTAAAATTAGTCTACAAAAAAATTAGGAAAACTGTATTAGCTATGAAAAAGACTTATTTTCATTTATACAATGTAATTACTTTACTTATCTTTTTTAGCACATTAAAAAGTATTTTTCGAAAATAAATAAATGGAAACATGGTAAAATTTCTATGAGACAGCAACTCAACAATGTAATGGAGCCAAATTTTCATACCTTCAGAGGTATTCATATAACCTTCAATAATTAAAATGTCCCTCAAAATAGAACAAGTTTTTTTTCCATTATTTCTCTATTTCAGATATGTTTTCTTTTAATAATTTATATGGTAACCAAGTAAGGCAAATCTCATAATCAATGAATATATATATATATTCTTTTAGGACAATTACCTCTCCAACAGTCTTGTCTTTTAAACCTTTTAATTTCAATATTTTTTTATACAGAAGACTTAAAGCTCCTCCCCTCATTCTAACACCTGTAAAAAATTAACATAAAAATCAAGGAATACCAGAAAACTAACATGTCAGCAAGCACCCCTCTCGCACCATTTTGTGTGAGGTCCATAAACAAATAATTATGACTGATGCAAACAAAGCAATACATGGTGACCGATGAAATATTTTTGAAACAAGGAACCAATTTAAAATAGTATATTATACCTTTAAATAAAATTTTGTTAAAATTCTATCATAAAACCCATGTCTAACACTAAATTTATGATTTTATTTTTTTTACAAAAACTAAGTTTTTACCCCAATTGTATATTCAATCTTTACGTAATTGGAAAGAAGTCTACCTTTTATAGGTACAAGTATTGTGCTCAAAAGTTATGGAAATCAGTCGAGGCAATTTTGACTTGTGGCCGAACATAGAAGTGCTGACAGAGGAACAAGACAGACTGATTACTTTAGGGAAGCACCAACTAGTCGACAGGGTCCTAATTAACATGTAAAATAGTCTATTTGTATCATAAGAAGTTGATGTAACTAGAGTTTGAGATATAAATATGTAAAAGGTACTGAAACCTTCATTATTTCTGTGAATGGATGCTCCACTTGATAATGGTTGTAATTCTAGATTGAAGAAAATACAAGTATTTATATAATGAAATATTTAAATTTACTTGCATGGGGACATTTTAAGGTTAACTAAGTTTAAAAATATATTCAATAAAATTGAAGTTAACCAGCTTTTCAGCATTATTAAATGGTGTGACTTACCAGTTTTGTAATTGAGACCCCAGCTAAAAGCAAGAAGCATAGCCCTACAAAACTCCATTCCAGATATGGCCGCAACTAATGACATACCATAGCCCAGATTCATCTGACCCTTAGATAGGTCACTTAGTAACTGATGCATAGCAAATGCCTATTAAAACAAGCATACAACTGAAGTTATGCAATCCTCAATAATATTGTAAGTATGCTTAATCCATAAATTTTATTTTCAAAGCAAAATAAAACAAACAAAAAATGACTAAAAGAAACAGTTTGATACAAATTCAGAGAACAGCAAACAACGTTTTGGATAAACAGGTTACATTTCATATCTAGTTTACATTCATTAAACCTGCTTTTAGTTGTGTTTGAGTCATATTAGAGTTATGTTTCATCAGAATCAAATTTTGAAAAAACACCAAAAAATGTCAAGATTTAATTTGAAAACTGAACAACAGATGACATAACATTAATAATTAACCGATGCAATACATGCAATTGAACTGACAGTGTTACTGTTAAGAATGTATTCTACTTTTTGTATACATTTATACATACAGGAGCAGCAAAGATAAATGATACACACAAGGTGGTGGCCAAGGCTCCAATAATCACTCTAGTTCTTATGGCACTCCAAATAACTCGAGAAAACGAAGCTTTATCAGGTCCTTTCTTCTTTAACTCTTCAATCCATAACTTTTCTAGTCTTAAAAAGGTCAAGAAAGTATACAGAATTAACATCAAATTTATAATACATAATTTCAAATATTGTTACCTTATCTAAAATCGGACTCGGACTTCTTTTAAACTGAGTTTTACTGTGAGTATTGCTGTGTTTTTTTTTTTATTCCACATTGGCTAGAGGTATAGGTGAAAGGTTGAAATCTCACAAAACATGTTTAACCCCGCCGCATTTTTTGCGACTGTCCAAAGTCAGGAACCTCTGGCCTTTGTTAGTCTTGTATGTTTTTTTTAAATTTTGGTTCATTTATATGTTTCGGAGTTTAGTGTGACGTCCATTTTCGCTGAACTGGTAAACATTTTTTAGGAATCAGCTGAAGTCCGTCTCCGGGTGCGGGATTTTCTTGCTGTGTTGAAGACCCTTTGGTGGCCTTTGGCTGTTTTTTGCTCTTTGATCGGGATGTTATCTCTTTGACATATTCCCCGTGTCCATTCTCAATTCTATTTTATACAGATCTTTTTGCAGTTCAAATAAAATTTAGAATGGAACGCGGGGAATGTGTCAAAGAGACAACAACCAGACCAAAGAGCAGAAAACAGCCAAAGGCCACCAATGGGTCTTCAACACAGCGAGAAAGTCCCCCACCCGGAGGCCGGCTTCAGCTGGCCCCTAAACAATAAAGCGAAAATGGATGTCACACTAAACTCCGAAACAAATAAATGAACCAAAATTAAAAAAACATATAAGACTAACAAAAGCCAGAGGTTCCTGACTTGGGACATGTACAAAAATGCGGCGGGGTTAAACATGTTTTTATAATATGGATATCTGTCTTCAATGCTTCTGCCATTCAGCTATTCAGACAGATGTAAAATTATAGAAACAAAAAAGCTATGACTTGGATATACATTGAATTGTTGAAAATACAGTTTTATTTAAATTTGTACAATAATATTACAGTTAATATTATTATCAGTCCATTTCTGTATAAAAGCATTGCTAAAAATATGGATCCTTCCCTTTTACAAGTCTTACCTTTCACCATTGATCTCTGCTCTGTCAATATCGCTGCATCTCATATGTGCAAGAAACCCCTCCCCCTTTTTATAAAGCTTCCAGATAATAGGAGTCAGCCATGCATATGTTAACAATGAAAACAATCCAGCAGATCCTTCTGGGATCTCATCTTTTTGACTGAAATGTATATTTATATAATATGACCGAGTGTACAAACAGTTGGGTAAGCTGTTTTTTTAGGCTGTAAGATAATGTTGACTGATGTCAAAGCTGTCAATATAAAATACAACATAACTTTACTCATTTTTATTTTAAGTTCTTTAATGTACCTTTTATAATCACTGGTTGAGACTAAAATCAGGGGGTTGAATTTCTAAAAAAAAACTGGTGAAGCGGCACCCAAGTCAGACTTGAAAATGATTTTTGCTGTTTCTCCACTTCGTATGCCGCATTTAGGATTTAGATTAAAGATCAGTCAGAACGATTTATGATCTAGCAAAATCAATTCAGTATGTTGTCCTAGTACAAAGCAGGGTTACTATTCATATTGCATTAACATATTCTCATCCTGATATGTATATACTGAAATATAATTTGTAATTTAATCAATAACTTCGGTAAAACAGTTGCAACTATTTATCAATTAATACAGCCATGTATTAATATGGAGGGGTTCTTGGACTGACAGAAGTAAACCAGTAGAAACCCTCCATTGGTGAAAGGATGGACTGACAGAGGTGAACCAGTAGAACCCCTACATTAGAGAATGGACTGACAGAGGTAAACCAGTAGAACCCATCTATTGAAGAAAGGATGGAGCGACAGAAGTAAACCAGCAGAACCCCTCTATTGACTGACAGAGGTAAACCAGTAGGACCCCTCCATTGGAAAAAATGGACTGACAGCGGTAAACCAGTAGAACCCCTCCGTTGGAGAAAGGATGGACTGACAGAGGTCAACCAGTAGAACCCCTCCATTAGAAAGAATGGACTGACAGAGGTAAACCAGTAGAACCCTCTATTGGAGAAAGGATATCTGACAGAGGTAAACCAGTAGGACCCCTCCATTGGAAAAAGGATGGACTGACAGCGGTAAACCAGTAGAACCCCTCCATGGGAGAAAAATGGACTGACAGCGGTAAACCAGTAGAACCCCTCCATTGCTGAAAGGATGGACTGACAGCGGTAAACCAGTAGAACCCCTCCATTGGAGTACAATGGACTGACAGAGGTAAACCAGTAGAACCCCTCTATTGCTGAAAGGATGGACTGACAGCGGTAAACCAGTAGAACCCCTCCATTGGAGAAAATGGACTGACAGAGGTAAACCAGTAGAACCCCTCCATTGGAGAAAAATGGACTGACAGCGGTAGACCAGTAAAACCTCTCCATTAAAGAAAGGATGGACTGGCAGCGGTAAACCAGTAAAACCTCTCTATTGGACTTAACAGAAGGGATGGACTGGCAGTGGTAAACCAGTAGAACATCTCTATTGGACTTAACAGAAAGGATGGACTGACAGAGGTAAATCAGTAGGACTTACACAGAAAGGGTGGACTGAGAAACGTAAACCAGTAGAACCACTCCATTGGAGAAAGGATGGACTGACAGAGGTATACCAGTAGAACACCTCCATTTGACTTACACAGAAAGGGTGGACTGAGAGACGTAAACCAGTAGAACCCCTCCATTGAAGAAAGGACGGACTGATAGAGGTTAACCGATACCCTTTCATTTGACATCCACAGAAAGGTTGACTGATAGAGGTAAACCAGTAGAAACCCATCCTTGGACATAACATAATTTTTAACTTATCTTACATAGTTAAATAGAAGTAAAATTAATGACCCTTAATGGTAAAAGATTGTTTTGTGTAATTATGGACTTCAACTGTGTAAACAGTTTTGTAAATGCAATAATTTGAGACATGGTCAGTTTATACATTACGGATATAATTTGATAAGTTCTATATGACTGCTCTCACTTACCTTTTCTCAAATCTGATTGGTTTAATATATTTGACAGAATTTCTGTATTTCTTCAGTCCTTGGCGTTTTCTGTGCGCACTTAGATCTACAGTTGACTCACGCTGGTATTGAATCTCTAGCAAACTAAAGTAATAAGAAGTTGTTTGTTATCATGTCAATAAAGTAGATTTGTTTACCCTCAGTGTGTATACAAATTGGTGATAGTTTAACCTTTTTTAATTCTGCATTTTAGTACTTGCTATGATTTATGCTTTCTGCATTCCCTAAACCAAGGGCTTCTCATCCCTTTGACAGTTAAGGTACATACAGTTGTGTCATATTTTAATAATATTATTACTTTATGTAATATACTTGAACTTCTACAACAAAGCTAGACTATTTTTGTATGTTTCCTGACCTCTAATGGAATTAAGAATCAATATTACAAATACATGTACCAACTTGATGAAATTTGCCATTTGATAATGTGTGTATCCACAGTCATACCCTGGTTAATGATCGTTTCTGCTTATATGGATATTTTTTTGTATGGTCGTCACTGCTTATAGAGATGTTTCTTACAGTAAGAAATTAGGCATTAGTGGTAGAACTATTACATGAGTCATACATTAATATAATATCTGTAAGCTAACCACTTCTCTTGAATAGGTGAAGATTGCAGCTTGACATATGATATAAACAACTGGCTATAGTAGAGCCATGCTTCAATAGGTTTAGATTTTCAATTGCTAAAACCTAACATTTTCTATCAGTATGTGATTGACAATTGAGAAGAACTTTACTAGACAGTAGACAAGTTTTAATTTGCTGTTGCATCACAATCTCATCCTTCCTGTTTCAAGCAGAATTTCAGACACTGCTGGAATTTTATATTGTATAAACATTGATATTTTGGAATCTCATTACATCAAAAATTGAATACATTCATTGGCTCTGCAAGGAAATTAAAATGTTTTAGTCATCACTGGTGTTAAACTGATCGTGGTAACTGCATGGCGGAGGTAGAAATAGGTAAAATCGTTTTCTGCTAATTTCTCCGTTTATACGTGTTGTTTTCAAAAATTACTCAGCCGCCAGGTTGATCTGTACGGTTTTGTTATCTGTATGTATTATAAATATCATGTATTACCTCGTTACCAAAATAATAGCCATTCGAAAATTTAAGGAAGATAATCGTAACTCCAAAAAAGATAATCGTAACTTGTGGACAAATAATTGGAAAGATAATCGTAACTGTAGAATATTTCAATGTTAAAAGCTAACTACAACTAATAAATAAATTATGTTTTCCAAATTAAAATCAATCAGTACACATTTATTGGATTTATTGTAAAACGTCAAAAACAATTTGAGAAAAACATGGCCTTGTGCAATACCAAAATATAAGTATCGGCTTAAAACTGTATAGGGATAAATATTTAGTTATGTTTTAATCTATTTATATAACAAAATCAATATAAGAACTGTTAAAAACAATATTCAAAACTTTAATTACAATGTTGATTTTATTACCTTTTAGAATGAATTTAAAAAAAAAGATTGATTTACTGACATGGAGCGTACCTAAAATTGGTAAAGGTTACTTATAATTAATTTGAGAACGAGAACTATATATGTTTTGGTGATTGTGAACACCGCAAAAATAGTATTAGACATATATTGGCAGGATTTTGATGATTGTTGCTATTTGGACAAAAGTACAATACTGGTCAAACGACTTACTTGATTTTTTTTATACAAAGTAATCAGTTTAATAAAAACCGAACTACGGGAAACCTAAAGAAAACTCTTGATTCAGTTGTTTGTATTCTCCGAGTTTGTATTCCCTGTCATTTCATAATGATGTAGCTTGTGGATAAGTAGACTATGGATGACCTTGTCAAATGCTTTGAAAAAAAATGACGGTTGCTGTTTTATGCTGACCAGACATGTTGCATCTAAATTATGTTTCATTTAGGTCTTTTTTACCCGAGTTCGCTTTTTTAAACTATGCATTTATGATATAAGCTCTGTCTGATGAATTGTCATGAAGTAATCCTGTTATTCTTATAATTGTGGTATATTACTTCTATCTTAACGTTAAAGGATGTACTTAGATGAAATTAAAAAAAATCTAGAATTTAAAATTGATACTTTAAGTTGGAAGAGCATTCAATTTAGTTAAGAAACAAAATAAGCTAAAAAATATTGATAGGTAATGGAGCTCCTTTTCGAGATATTTAATTTTTTTTTAAAAGGCGGGAAAAGGCTGACTTGGACTTTTACCTTATGTTTGCATTGGTATTATTTGGGTCACAAATCGAAAGAAAAGAAATCTAGAATCTGCTTAAATTTTGGTAAACGACCTTTGATGAGCTATTGAAGTCTTATATGAAAAAAAAATGGGTGTTATGGGGCGAAATATTTTACCCTATATCGTAGGGAAAAAACTAAGGAGTCCAAACATCTGACACAAATTCCTAAATCTGACCTAAGTACATCCTTAAGCTTTATATAGGTCCAAACCGTTTCATGCAGTCAGTACTGCTGTCAGCTTCACGACTTTGTGTTAATATGTCTTCTATATGTATTTCCAATACGGCTTTCTTATTTCTCACTGGATTTTGCTCCTCAGTTCTTTTTATGTAGTAGCATCTTTTTTATCCCCAGATTTCGTGTTCTTGTTGTATGCTCTATTCTATCTTTTGATTAGCCTTCTTATATCTGCTTCTAAGCCCCCTCCCCCCAAGGGTGACTGGGGAATAGAAATATGAGCCATCTTGGTCTTCTTCCGACCGGTAGTAAGAACCCTTGCCAAAGTGGGTAGTCCGTTGTGACTTGGATGTATAAATACGCAGCCACATCCGGTCAGAATGGGGACGTTAAATCAGATGCCACGTGTAGAGAGAGTTCCACGCTCTATGTATGTTAAGAACCTTTAAAACAACTCTTTGATGAGTCCAAATGTGACCTTTTGCAAGGAAAAATTTTCCTTTCCCAACTTATCCTCATTTTCAAGTGGCAGTCCAAATTTTCCGACCTTCATCCTGACCGGCACCTATTACAGAACCTACCTATTGTATTTGTTGTTAATTTGTTCTCGTCCTGACATGCATGAAATATTTGCCACTGGACTTTAAGCAACCAGCAATCAATCAATCAATCTTATATCTGCTGTCATCAAGGGCATTCATTTTTCACGATCAGCGTTAAAGTCGAAAGCGAATCTGGTGCAGAACAATTGGCACCGTCAATGTTATAACTACCACTGGGCCGATACCTCTGTTAGTGGACTATCAGTCCCCGGGTATAACTTGACCAGTAGCCACTACTTCGGGACTGGCATTGAAATACTGATATTTTTTTTCATTGCTTATATAGAATTTGAGAAATCATTTAAATAAAGGAATATATCTCCATCATGCCAAGCTCCGATTCCTTGTTCTGATTCGAGTATACTTAATGTCCTTTATGGTTTTATCAGCTCTGCAACGTTTGCTTTAGGTTTTGGCCTCGAGCATCACTGAAGAGACATAATATGAGTTGTCGAAAAACACATCTGGTGCAGGAACATTGGTACCGTTAATCTTATAACTACCACCGGATCGATATCTCTGTTAGTGAAATGTTAGTCCCAGAGAGTACCACCAGCAGAGTTGCCAGTACTTTGGTACTTTGGTACTGGCATGCAAAAACGGATATTGATTGATTGAACTTTGCTTTTATAAAACTTTAAAAATCTTTTAAATTAAGGAATATATCTTCTTCTCCTTTAGTATACAATATACCATCAATATTTACCGTAAATTTTAACTTGTGGAATATATATAGACTATATCTACAAAGCAAAAAGTAAATTAGTTTGAGATAACCAATTATTCACTAATTCTGGTCATACTATCAAACATTTAAGCAAGATTTAGTTTTAGTCGCCGTCCCATTCAACAGGTAATATTACGATTATCACTGATAAGTTACTATTGTCATGTCCAAATTACGACCATCTGAAAGTCCAGTTACGATTATCATATCAAAAAAATGTCATGGAGTTACGATTATCTTCCTTAAATTTTCGATAGCTATTATTTTTGTAACGAGGCCATATATGATATTAAGAACACACACACGCAACAAAACCGTACAGATCAACCTGGCTGCTGAGTAATTCTTGAAAACAACACGTTTACACGGAGAAATTAGCAGAAAACGATTTTACATATTTTTACCTCCGCCATATTGGGATCGTGGTAACTGCATATACCACGATCAGTTTAACACCAATGAGTCATGCTCTACTGAAGTATTTCTATTTTCAATGTTCAATTTTCTGATCAGGTAAGGTTTAGAATTAATGCGTTAACCCTCTTGCTGCCGCTAATTTTATATAGTTGCATTTCGTTTGTGATTCACATGCCCAACATTGACGTCATTCGATATATCTAAATATTACACGGTTTAATCTTCAGTATTTTATTTGAAAGAGAAGCAGCAATGATTATAAGCTTGCAGGATTAAACATGTGAACATGTGGATCCCTCCGGCAGCATGAGGATTAGAAGGGAATACTATATTCCTTTGTAAATACTATGGATGGCTGTACATCAAAATATGAAGTAGCAAATTTACATGCCATCATTTATCTGGAACTAATTCTCATCTGTCTGCTATGTAACAATTATACCTATCTATTTTCTCATCGTCATCCGTTAATATTGATTCACGAAAATTATTTTATAATGGTTATATTCTCCCACTGATAGATTATTGTTGTATTTTGTGGAGTGGTTGTACTAAAAATGAGTTAGTAAGAATAATAAAATTACAAAAAAGGGCTGAAAGACTTATTTTAGATGATGATCCTGTTTCGCCATCAGCACCACTGTTTAAACAGCTTGGGTAGATGACAATAGAGAACAGAATCTGATATCATAAATCTGTTTTGATGCATAAATGCCTTAAGTATGAAGCCCCTGTATATTTAACTGAAAAATTTCAAGAAATGCCAGAAATAAACCAATATTGTTTGAGGAATACGTCTTACAAAAAATTGCAAGTTCCAAAAGCCAAAACAGAGCTGTATAAGAAATCTTTAATATATTCAGGATCTATTTTATGGAATAACTTACCAATATCCCTGAAAAAATCAACCTCAAGTACAAGTTCATTCAAAAAAGATTCAAAAAAATACTTGTTGGAACATTATCAAAGAAGCTGTGTAAATTTGTATGCGTAATAATTTTTCTGATAACTTGATCTTTAAATATTGTTCAATGTTGAGGTAATTTGAAAGATGTCAATACTACTAGTATATGTTCATCATGTTTACCTGTTTTAAAAATTGTATATTTCATAACAATTTCTCATTTTATTTTCTTATATGTGTGTTTTTTTTCTTATTTTGTAATTTTCTGTTTGTTATATTTCAACGTATTTCATGAGGGCCTCAGGGAAGATTAGTTTTATAGCTAACTGTGTAATCCTCTTTAAATAGAGAATAAGTTGTAGTAGTAGTCGAACATCATCGCAATCTTTGGACGGGGATCCAGGATGCCTTTCCAGTTTCTTTTCAGTCAACAACTTGGCTGATATATCTTGATCATCTTTACCAGGCATTGTTCTGAAACAAAGTACATGTAGGTATTTTACACCAAAAACTTGGCAGATATCTAAAGATCATCTTATAAGACATTGTTCTGAAACAAAGTGCACGTAGGTATTTTACATCAAAAACTTGGCAGATATCTAAAGATCATCTTATAAGACATTGTTCTGAAACAAAGTACATGTAGGTATTTTACACCAAAAACTTGGCAGATATCTAAAGATCCCCTTATAAGACATTGTTCTGAAACAAAATACATGTGAGTATTTTATACCAAAAACTTGGCAGATATCTAAAGATCCCCTTATAAGACATTGTTCTGAAACAAAATACATGTAGGTATTTTATACCAAAAACTTGGCAGATATCTAAAGATCTCCTTATAAGACATTGTTCTGAAACAAAATACATGTAGGTATTTTACACCAAAAACTTGGCAGATATCTAAAGATCCCCTTATAAGACATTTTTCTGAAACAAAATACATGTAGGTATTTTACACCAAAAACTTGGCAGATATCTAAAGATCCCCTTATAAGACATTGTTCTGAAACAAAGTACATGTAGGTAT